AGCCTCTAAACTCAGTCAGCACTGCTGTTGTGGTTTAACTCCAGCCGGCCCCTAAGCCCCACACAGCCACTCATTCAACCCCCCCCCCCCGATAGGACGGGGAAGAGAATTGGAAGGATAAAGTGAGAAAACTCCTGGGTTGAGATAAAGACAGTTCAATAGGTAAAGCAAAAGCTACATGTACTAGTGAAGAAAAGCAAGGAATTCTTTCACCACTTCCCATTGGCAGGCAGGTGTTCAGCTTCCCCAGGAAATCGGGACTCCAGCATGCATAATGGTTACTTGGGAAGACAAACACCATCACTCCTAAAGTTCCCCCCTTCCTTCTTCTTCCCCTAGTGCTACTGCTGAGCATGACATCATATGGTCTGAAATATCCCTTTGGTCAGTTGGGGTCAATTCCCAACTCCTTGGTACCCCCAACCTCCTCGTTGGTGGGCTTGTGTGAGGAGCAGAAAAGCCTTAACTCTGTGTGAGCACTGCTCAGTAATAACTAAAACATCCCTATATTACCAACACTGTTTTCAGCACAAAACCAAAACATAGCAACATACTGCCTAGTATGAAGAAAATTAACTCTATCCCAGCCAAAACCAGCACATTCTCCACCCCTAATTCCATACCACTTACATCATGCTAAGGTAATACACTATCTGATACAACCTCATTAATCACCACCCTTCTTCCCATCCTTTGATATAATACACAGATGTCATTTGCCTTGTCTATGAACCACCCCTGTAATATCTCCAAAGCCAGAGTTTTCTTCTACATTTCAGAGTACCTTGCATAACCAGTTCTAAAGTTAGTGTAACAAATTAAAAAGCAGTAACAACCATATTCAACACAGAGCTCATCTACCATTCTCTCTCTCCACATGCTTTTCACAGTGAGGATGTGTGTGGCTTTGTTTTCCATGGAGAAACCTCTCTGAGATTTCTTACGTAGTATGACGTGTTATACTAAGCAGAAAACAGACTGCACCATCTACTCCAAGAATCTGGGAAAGGAACCTATGGCCAGAGTATGTCCACCATTTTCTTCCACAGTGGCAGTGCACATATTTATTAGGGAAAGTTAACAGGACATTAAAAAAAGGGTGGACAGTGAACATGAATCCCTGGGTAGGGCTGGTAAGCAAATCCCTGGTGAGTCACCTGTAGACTGATGGAAGAAAAGAACAGTTGAGACTATGGGAGAAAGGTGAGAAAAGCATGAGCAGGACAAGCCAAGGAGAGCAACTAAACCTCTCCAGAGATAAATGGAAAGGGTGTGCCAGATCCTCTGCTTCTGCTTAAGTTAATGACAACTTGGTTTATGTTAATTGCAGACTGTCACTACTTTACATTAATTGGACAGATTATATCCATTGTCAGAACTGTGGGTCAAATGACACATATGTTGGATTTACTGTTACCAGAGGCACTTTTAGTGACCAATCCATTGGAATCGGTTTTTGGTACATAATCAGTGTAGGAGTCAGAAGAGTATTTGTCAGACAAATTCTTGACTGTTGTGATTAATTTCCAACAATCTCTCACCTATAAAATGAACTGGTCTGTATCAACTCTACAGATCTATCCTAAATTAATTTCCAGATTATTTGATGCTGAGATGTCAAGATAAGCCTCTCGGATTTACACACATTACAACTGAGAAAAACAGACAAAAAAGCAGGGAAGAAAAAAAATGCTTTCAACAGCTCTGTAAACATTCCCTCCTGAAAACAAAAACACTTTGTTCTAGTTCTAGGCAATATCCAAACTGTGGTCCTTTAATAGACTCCTGGTTTACATTAACAATGGAGACAACTGCTTGAGTTTCTGTTACTAAAATACTTCACAACTTGCTTCTGCAGTTCCTTTTCCTTCTTACAACTGAACAGGAGAGCTTGCTCCTTCCTACCTACGTAGGTAGGCTATTTTCTCTGCGCCATCTGGGAAAGTCAGAAGTCCTCCGACTTCTATTTGTCAACCTACAAGAACCACTTGGAGCAACCACCCATGTGACCAACAAACATATTTACTTAAACCCTTCTGGGTTTTGTGATATTCTCATTTACAGATATAGTTCCCTCAGCAGTCAGTAAAATCTTACAGCCTGATAATTTTCTAAATTTCACATAAGCCAGCTAACAGAGTGACATGACTTTCTTCTGTACATTTTTTGTTATTACCGATTTCACCCAGTGGTAGAGAGGCTGTATGGCTGGCTAAGCTGAACACTGGAACATCATTTGAATGCCACTACTCCCTGGAAATCAAAAATTTCAGTCTAAGCAGTAGCAACAATAACTCCAGACTAGTTTTGAGAAAAATACCTGACCAATATCTTTTGAACCAGGACAACCTTTACAGCAGCTATGTAATAGTGTGCACTGGTAAACGTTTAGTGAAGTAGCATGTTCAAGTTTGACATTCATTGTTTCAGTCACAAGGAGTTATAATGAGTGAAAACTAAAAACTGTCCCAGAAGAAGAAAAAACTGTTTGATATTAGCACTCTGCTTAGCAACAACTCCAGTAAGAGAGACAGGGCAAGGGAAAAAAAAGCCTTGACCCCAGTGACACACCTAGTCATCCAAGGTACAGACACCCTCCTCACCTTCACCCGATGAGTATCAAAAGCACTAAATGTCCCCTCAGAAAACTCCTCCTTTTATCAGTAGTCCCTTGCTCTAGTTTACCCAATCGGAAACAAGAAACTTTCTCCAAATATTTTAAAGTAACACAAGGAGATCCTGGTATTCTGATACTCCCTTTATGCAGAGGTGGGTGTAACCGAAAAGAGAAGCAAGCTCTGCTACTTCTGGCCATCACATGTAGCCCACTGCTGAAGGTATATGCACATTAGTTGCTGAAAGCCTAGTTTGTTGGGTGGCTTCTCTAATTGCTTAACTGAGACTAGCGTATATTTATTTAATACAGCTAACTTGTCATGTAAACAAGGTATCATTTGCCTTCACTATGTACAGATGAATTTATATTCATTACGAGTACTGGCACAGAATTAAACAACGTTCTATGGGCAGGAAATGCAGCCTTTTCTTTTCTCCTAGTCTGCTGAAGCATGAAGATACAGATCTAGGGTGTGTAAACAGCTTACTACTGATTATGAAGATGTAACTTCATTAAACATCCTGGATATTTTGACAGGGAATGTGTTTCATACCATCCATAGAAGGCCAGTATGTTGGCTTAAGTACCCCAACTTTGCCATAGTAAGCTACCACTGATTTCAGTCCAGAATTCAAATCCAGATAAGACTTCATAAACAAACCCTTTTTTTGTTTATTTTACAATACTAAATGAGTGAGGGTCTAATATACTTAGTGCTAAACAAAAGTGAAACTGAAATGAATTGGAAAAAAAAAATACACTATTCAGTTCAGTAACACCTGAATTGAACATCGTATTATATTGTACCATTCTTTTATGGAAAAAAAAAATAATTACAATTGCAGGGTAGGATTTTGATAAGAACCCAAGGTAATCAGGCATCCAGCTGTGATCACATTTTACAACTAGGACACCTTCTCCACCTTGTCTCCTTCCCTTTTTTCAGCAGAAATGACAAACATGAGCAGAGACTGCTGAATTGAGTCTTACCAGGCATGCAGAAGTTAATACTGTCCTGTTTTATACAAAGTCCTTTCTGCGTCCCTAAAAATCCTGGTATATAACTTCTTAGATATAGCTGTCAGGTGTCTCTTATGAAATCTCCCACTGAGCACCAACTCTCATTCCATTTCTTACAATGAAGACATTCTGATCCATCAGCTACCTTCATTCTTGGCTGAAGATGAAAATGAACTGAGGACAAATGATATGTGTATAGCAAGTGCTGAATTGTGAACATTTTTGTTAATCTTTTACCATATTAAAAGTACACTGCCCTTGGAAAGAAACAGAAATCTGCCCAGAGCAATTCATACTACCTACCTCTGATGCCAAGCTAAAAAACAAAAAAGAAGTAGCAACACTGCCTGTGTTTATTGAAGTACATATTCATTCCAGCTTTTGAAATTATAATCCAGTAGAATTGCAAAAAAACAGTGTGCAAAAAAAAGTACATTAAACATATACTGGCAAGCCTAATAGTCCCAATTCCTTGCCTGTTTCTCTAATCTGTAGTCCTTATTAACTCCATGGATGTGAATGTAATTACACAGGAATGATCCTGAAATGATGTATCAGTCACAGGCCATAATCACCGTAACATTTATTTTCTCCTACAAAGTTGGTGTCTGGTTGTCTGACTGAAATTGATTCTGGTATTTTCTGTAAGGCAAAATCAGATTATACAGAGAATTTAAAAGTAGATTTCAAGGTTTAACCCCATCCCTAATAAAATACAGGATACAGTCTATGAGAAGCTAGCTTTATGTTCCTCAGATATGTGCCTAATGCTTTTGTCAGCACCACACAGAAGTGTTTCCATGGCATACAGTCAGTGTGACCATGTGGTACTGCAGGACCCTTCAAGGTTATTAGTCTGTTCTTTCCACAGGAAGATGAGCTGCCCCAAGAGGCAACTTAATAGTGGGTTCTTACATATGAAATACTCCACACATCCTTGGACTTCAGAAATTAGCAGGAGTTTTTTGCTAAGGAGCTGCCTGGCACCAGTTACAGTTTTGAATGACTTAGAATAGCTACTTACATGCCATCTGCATAACTGTAAAGCAAAACCTTATTAAATTTGTTCCAGGACCTGTTATTTGTGGAGGAGGAGTTGTATTTTATTTGCATGATATGTTTCGTTATTAGACTGAATCTTAACAAAGTATACGTACATATATATCTATATACTCCTCCCAAAATGCAAATACCATTGGCCAGTTTCTGAGAAAGGAAGAGGATCTTCTATTTACCTGTTCATTTGCTAAAATCCCCAAAACTCCACCTTTCTAGAGTCTCTGAATCAATCTGGGACTGAAGCCAAAGTCACCTACTATATAAGAGTGACAGAGCACCAGTAAACTACTCCTCCTGACCAACTTTAGACCTGACATACTTGTGCCAGACTCCACTCAAGATGGGGTCTGGCAGGGGGATATGGGTACCAGAATGGGCTTTCCTATTAGCAGCTTGCTGTGTCCATCTGATAGGTAAGAAGCTGCCGTCTTTTACTGGGGGAAAAAAAAAATAAATACTCTAGATCCAGTAATATATTTTAAACAACGATACTCATTATTTCACTTAACAGATGGTTGCATTTAAAAAGATTTCTTTGTTGTTGTTTTTTTTCCAATTTTCATTAAATATTTAATGTCTATTAACTGATTTAACATTTTAATAATAATTTAAGATTGCCTTGCACTCCTGCATATAACTACATTTGGAAGGCAGCTTTGAAGACAAAAAACAAAAAGAACCATTAATCATGTCTTAAAATGTCAGGTTTTCAGTATCACTTATGCCTTACAGAAGTATTTTATCCCTGCTGCATTTTGTATTAGGGTTGATTATTGTTTTTTTGCAATTTAAACCAGTGCAATTTCCAATTGTTAGATCAGACCACTGCTCAATCTTTTTCAGCATCTTGTCACCTATCAGGAGCTGATATCAGATTCCTCTAGATTTCTTGCAATTTCTGTTGGGAAAGAGACTAGAAAGGAATATTCACGTGGCAGTCATCTTCAGTAACTAATTCTGCACTGATGATACCCTATGCAAAGAATATAAAATACTGATGTTAGGTGTGAACAGGACTGGGAGATTTGGCATATGCAATCCACCATTTTGCATGTTTTTTTTTCCTCCTGTCAATTATTATATCTATCAGGGCTGGTCTTGGCAGTGTTTTTAATATGAGTAGTCCTATTAAGTCAGTGGGACCACTTATATTAAAATTACTTGCATGAGTACAAGCTTGGTAGGTCAGTCTCATTCATGTATAGTAATTACTGCCCTGTTGAAAACATTTTTATATCTTCTGATTGCCTATGTAAATTTATCTTGAATATCATTTTCAAAACATTAACAAGTGCAAATATACTTTTAGGCTACTTTATAGATTGTGAAATAAAGACTAAAATACTGACAAGTTGATTTAAGCGCAAAATACAACAGCCACTTAGAGTATAAGCTGATGTTTAGAGTTATACAATGTCAGTAAAAAGCATCTTCAGCCATTCATTGAACAAGCAAGTTATTTGTACTGTGCAATGCTAATCTGATAAACTGCTTTGGAAAAAGAGCAATGGTTAGACAGTGTCCAGCAAACTCCACCTTATTTGAATCAAACTCCATGGAAAATATTTTCAAATGCCTCGAGTGACTAAAAAATATTAGCCCAATCCCACACTATGTCCACATACATCCTGTGCCTGACTATATTTTGGGTCAAATACTAACTTTCATAAATTGATTGTAATGATAACTGTGTATGTGGATTGGCAGCTGGATATGACTTAGTAAGATGCATCTAGAAATATTATTAATAATTAGGTAGGTTCCCAAATTATCAATTAGTAAATGATCTTGACTATTCTTAAACTAAGAGACATTTCTTTTTATAATGGTCAACCACGTGGCATTGTGCAATTGCTAAATAAACCAATGCAGCTAGAATTTCCTTGGGAATGATGTATTTGCTAAGTAAACAAAAGCCCCTGCCATTTCCTTGAGAAAAATTAACAGGCCAAAATACATGTATATACTATTCTGCTCTGTTAGAAAGGTTCTCATGCTAGAATAAACAAACATTCTATGATTCTAGGCCAGATGAGATTCCTATAGATGCGTTGGGTGAGAGCAAATTCTGGTCTATTATTAAAACTTAGAGAGGCATTTGTCTCACCTGATCAGTATCAATTTTTCTCACTAGATGAATTATAATGATATGAATGCATTTACTTAATGACATTATCTATGATACTGAAACACTAACAGGAAATTAAAAATTTGTTTAAAATCCATCCTAAGTTACTTATTTATACATCACTAGAGGTCACTCACAAAGTTAAATGAGAAAAGAATTAAAAGCTTAGGTCTGAAAGAAACTGCAGACACTGCAGCAACTTCTATATATAGTGATTCTGCTCTGGGATCAGGTATTCAGTCTGCTTACATGGTGGAAACACTCAGGAGTTACATCAGAAAAATAATTACAAGGAAAAAAAGGAGCCCCGGTCTGATTATTTTTAAGGCAAAGGTATTGTTCAGCTTTCATGGAGGTATCTGGGTTGAGTTCCTGAAGTGAAGGAAATCGTCAGCAACGAATGTAAACACCTGAGGTGACTGAGGTTTACGGCACATCCCTGACTTCATCATTTTTCTTTACTCCACCAAGGTGGCTCCCTGTTCAGTGAGATGGGTGTTATGGATCCATTTCTGAGTCAGTGAACTCTTCCCCCTGTATAAGGAAAAAGGGGGTTTAACATAAGACTTAATTACAGAGTCAGTCCCTCTTTTAAAGAGAAATTCTCTAGACAGTTAGACTGCTCATTCACATAATCCTGATGAGGATTCAGATATTAGTAATTTCATCACCTAAATCTTTTGAGGATTTAGACTAGGCAGGTTACAGGTACATGTTATTCAACATGTTCCAAGCACGGTTATCACATGCTGACAGGATTCAGTCCTTCACAAAATAAGGTTGTACCTATTTTTCTTTTACAGTAAATCAGTAAATTTTTTACTTATATTTCCTGATAAAAGACAAGAGCTTAGAGCATTAACCTAGAAGCTCAGGGTTAGTCTTTTTCTAGGCATCAGGTTTTCATGTCAAAATTCTTCATCTCTCGAAAGTCTTTGTCAGTATTTCTGCTGGTATGGTAGTGCTGGGCCATGTATGGAAAGGAATTAAAAATGTATGGAGTCATGATAGAGAGGAGACCTCATCTGTAAGACAGTTCACATAGTTGATCTCCTAACCATTTAACTGGAGGTATAAAAATAATCCTTCAAGCAAGGCACAATACTAGGAAAGTTTTGACGCAGCTGAGTGTCCTAATCATGTGGTCACATGACCATGGCCTGTATTTTATGCCTCTGTCCCACTGTTTTCAGCACAGTGTCTCAGCTTCAGGTGGTGTAGCAAGAGCCCTTGGTCAAATAGGCTTACAGTATGATGCCTAAGGTTTTCTGCAGAGAAGATGTGAGTTTGAACCATTTCAGAGTGAGAAGAGGGCTAGAAGAAAAAACCTGGTTCTTTTGGTTCCTTCTCCTGGGTTACTTCTCAGGCTATGGACCCTTGTATCATCATTCAGAGGTGCCTTCTTACAGCCAGCTGAAAGGCAAATCTAGATCCCTGACTGAGGCTCCAGATTTGCTCCTGAAGAAAAGGGCCTATGCTTAGGCGTAAAAGAAATTGGCATAGAAGTATCTGCAGCCATTAGCAGATCAAGCCCCAAGTCCCTTGTTTCTTTTAACCAGTTCTGTGCCCTTTCTTAGTATTGCCTAGCTATAGGCAATAGACTTTCTGATTCTTCCTGTTGTTTCACTTATTAATGAGATTTAGTGCAGCAGTGAATTAAGGGCTGTGATCCAGTCATTAGAAAAAAGAAATGAGATATAAATGAATTGTTATTTGAATTTAGAGCTGTATTTGTAATAGAAAACATTATTGCTTTTTACCTTTTGGAAGGGGCTGTTTCTTTTTTTCTGATTTGATAGAGGACTGTCCCCTTTGTCTTATATAGATACACCTGGGTCCTTTGATCACATCTAAAAGCTTTGATTTAAAAGTTCAGATACAGGAAATTGTACTTAATATGTTTTTTACAATTTATTCACAGGAGCTGACACTGAAATCCAGCAGGAAACAGGAAGCAAATACATGGAGGATATTCAGCAGAAACAAAACAGTATGTTCATTTATACTGTGTGTTTGTATCTACTTGCCACATCTCTGCTTAATAATGAAAATGCCTAAAAAACCTCCCTAGATATTGCCAGTAATGTCAAATAAAGATACATGTGTATTAACAAGCCCCTTTCTCTGTAAGAATAGTATATTTGATAGTATACTAGATAACAGATACCAAATACTAATCACACAGAGTAGTTATATTTGTGTAATAATAGGCAACTAAAAAAACAGATGTGTGTTTGTAGAGGCTGTATGCATATGTGCATTAATATGTATAAAACAATACCAAAGTGGAATACACATGCAGTGTTTGGTTCCAAATAAATAAGGAAATGAGATCACTTTGGCAAACTGTAAAGTCAGCAGCTGATGTTGATAAATCAAGATGGCAACCCAACTGCATTGATTTCTACAATGTAATGATTTGTGATCATCCTGTTAACAGATTTGTGGCCATTTCTGAATGGTTTCAGCCCCTTAACAGAAAAATACTAAACAGAGAGCAAAGAGGATAATTAAATTGTTTATTCCCTCCTTAGAAAGAGAAGGTTTAATGAGAAGGCAACTATGCTTTTGTACCAGTAATAGGCTAATCTAGTACCGCTTAACCTGTTGAATTTTCCAGTGTGTCTGAAGCACTCCAATATGCAGAGCTGTGAATTTCTGCTTCTCCTAACACAAAACAGACTTCTATAAAAGGGTCAAAAAGGTAGAAAATGCAGATCATCACAGTTGAAAGAAATTTCTTATGATTTAACTATACTGATTTTGAATTTTAGTATGCACTTTTAACCTATCCATGGCCTGTGAAACAGAAAACAGGCTTAACATTGTTTCATTAGAGCTGGCATATTAATTTTCTAGTCCTTTCTAGATAAATTTTAGGTGCAAATGTTGGTATTGTTATACTAGTTTTTTGGTTTATTTCTTTTCTTCTAGCTTCTGCTATGGTAAACATCATCTGGCCAATGCTGACAGATCCATTAATAAGACGTAAGTAGAGGAAATTAAATGTATTCAGTAAGTTTTCAGCTTCAGGGGATGCAGACAGGGAAAGGGACTGGTAAAGGAAGTAATGGATTCTTTAGAAGAGAAATACAATGATTAAGAAACATAATATTGAAGTGTTAGCTGAAATGTGGATGACTAATAAAGCTCTAGATGAAGATAACTATAGCCATTTATAGGGAAATATGAGTAACAGATATGAGTGAAGAGTGAATATACAGTTTTATAATGGATAGATGGACAGAAAATAACAAATGGAGGTAGGCAGATGGAAACTATTTAATGATAACATGAAACCTAGAGAAAGCTGATTTTCAAAATATTAAGGTTGAGAATTTTAAGTCATTTATTTACAGCTAGTGTTAATTCACAGCTTCCAATCCTGCTCACAATGGTCGTGTGTGCAGCACATGGGGCAACTTCCACTTCAAGACCTTCGATGGAGACATATTCTCCTTCCCTGGGCTCTGTAATTACGTTTTTGCATCCCATTGCAACACTCCCTATGAGGATTTCAACATCCAGATTAGGCGCACAGTGGTGGAAAATGCTCCAACAATCAATCGTATCACCATGATACTTGAAGGTGTAGCTGCTGAACTAACAAAGGATGTTGTAACAATCAACAGCAACAGGTGAGTTCATTCATAACGCTTGTTTGGTAACCCCATACTTTTTTTCAGACTTGAAAAAGTACTTTGGTGTATTTTGAGGGGAGAAATTATGTTTTTCAAGAAATCTGACAATTTTACCATTATAAATTAGTTACTATTAATTCCTTTCACAGTAAATGATCCTTCCCTTAAAGATCAACTCAGAAATACAATTTGGATGAAAAATCCTGAGAAGTTGGATCCAAATTCAGGTCCATATTTGATGATGTTATACCATCTTATGTTTTAATTGCTTTTCTTTCCACATAACTGCATTATTTTAGAATTCCTATGCATGCTGGATACCACAAGCCTTTTTTTTTTTTCTTTCTCTTTATCAAACATCTGGATCAGAAAATACCTAGCTTTCTTTCTGCCTTTTCCCAGAGTTCAACTGCCATACAGAGAATTTGGAATTACGATAGAGAAAAGCAGCATTTATGTCAAAGTTGCCAGCAAAATGGGTGTTGTGTTAATGTGGAATGAAGATGACAATATCCTGGTAAGAACTGCTCCTGGACCTGCCTGCATCTTCAGGGACCTGAGCTAATTTTTGAATAGGCTGGTCCATATCTGTTTAGGAGGTTACTATTACCTTCTACTATCATACTGTTGAGCAATTCTTTCTTAGTATAAGATAGGTTTACACCCAGGTAGCCCTAAAGAAAATTACAGGGATTTACATCTAGTGGACAGCAGGCATCTGCTTAAAAAAGTGAAAAATCACTTTCACTGTATCATTAACACATTGGCATCGTTATAGGGCATACTTACCCCTTCAGGTATAATTTTCTAGCAGAATTTCGCTCTCTTAGGACTTCATTTTTACTATGGATTTGATTTTCTTTCTGAAGAACAAATAGAAAGAAAGAGGCTAAGAGCAATACAGATAATACAGTGAAAACATAAGTCTGCATCAATAGCATCTATAACTTGAACTCTGTGTTGTAAATCAAATCCAAGGCAACTCTTCATTCTATCACCCAGGTTTGAATTCGATTGCTAAATAAAGTTACACAATTATGAAAATACTTAGAGGCAGCAGTTGCAGGCGCTTTCAGTGGTCTTCAACCTATTTTAAAATGTTAACACTAACATCTATCTATTTACTGTCCATTATTTTAGCTGGAATTGAATGAGAAATATGCTAATCAGACCTGTGGACTTTGTGGGGACTTCAATGGCTTTCCAATTTACAATGAGTTCTATTCAAACAGTAAGTTTTTTAAGTAATACAGTTGGTTTCTGAAGTCTTCAACTTACTTTCTTTGTATTCTTTTAACTGTAACATAATCAGCGTTCATCTTTTCTATCCTGTTAAATGATTTATCCAGAAGTTATGATTCAATCTCTGTTCACAAATAAGTAGTGCAGAGATCAGTTAATGTGATTTAATATTTTAAGCATAAATACAGTACTCGTGCTAAGAACTGATTGCATATTCCTTGTATGCCATGGTTTATTTACGTTATCAGCTAACCCTATAAAAATGAGTCGGATTTCGACTAATAACAGAAATAGCTATAGAAATATATTCAAAGAAAAATGCAATTTTATTGTCTAGGCAGTCCATTTATTGTTTCAGTTCCGTCTTAAAATTGGTATATTTGCCTGATGAGTTGCATAATTTTTGTAAGATCTTATCTTCATCATTCTATCCAGCATTGGATAGCATTCTATCCAGCATCTATCTCCATTGTCCAAATCCCTGTTTAGATTCTTTCTCTATTCCCTGCATGAGCTCAACATAATCTGAAAACAGTTTGTTATTTTTCTACTAAAAATCTTAGTTTGCATCCAGATGTAATAGGCTGAAAATTGTTTTCTAATGTTTACTTTTTCCAGGGTGCTCTGCAAGAAAAATTGAAACAGGGAAGTAGTGCTTCCTTTGGAAGGGGTGATGATCAAATTTAAAGACTTAAGGGCAGTAGCTGTCTTGGCCAGTCTTGAACAGAATTTTTGAGAGAAGAAAAAAATAAAGCACAGTTGCATTGAACAAAAAACCCCCAACCTTCATTATTAAACTTCTTTTGTGCAGATATTAAGATTACAGCAATGCAGTTTGGGAATATGCAGAAAATGGATGGGCCAACAGAAGTCTGTGAAGACTCTGCTTCTACCCTGCCAGACAATTGCACTGATATTTTTGTAAGGATTTTTTTACTATTTCATTTTTCTTTCAAACTTATACTTATCCTTCTGCAGCTTCAGCTGGGTCAACAGGAAATGCCCTTGGGAGACAGCAACTTAAAGGAGCTTATATGATTCTATTAAAGAATAATTATACAAAGTAACAATACAAATATATTGCTCTTTTATTTTTTTTGTTTAGTTTGTTAGGTTTTAATTTTTTTCTTCCTAAGGATGACATATGTGAGGAAACATTGACCAGCTCTGCATTTGCAGAGTGTAATCACCTAGTTGATGTTAAAGAGTACATTACGGCCTGCCAAGAAGATTTGTGCCGCTCTGAAGAGTCTAAAAATGCCTCATGTATCTGTGACACCTTTGCTGAATACTCCCGGCAGTGTGCTCATGCTGGTGGGCATCCTCTGAACTGGAGAACCTCAAAACTGTGTCGTAAGTATCACAGTAGATAGCCTTAGTTTATGCCCAGTAACTAAAAAACAATAAGCTCTGAGATGATGCTGAGGATGAATGACAAATTGCAGACCATTCAAGATGATTGCATTTTCCAGAGGATACTGATGTGCAAGTTTCAGCATGAAGACTTCAGCAAAAGAGCTAAGGTTTCTAATGTAAACTGGATTAAATACTATCAAAGACTTACAATCTAATTGAGAGTCAAGGTATTACTTAATTAACTGGGACAGTAAAATAATCAAATAAAGGAGAAAGGAGGAAGAAAGAGGCAGGCTTGTTAGCTTGTATTCCTGTTTCTCTCCTTTACTCATGGTGGCTACAGCATTTTTCATTCTCTGTTGTTAAGTGATTGGGTCTTCACAGGTGTTAAGTACTTATTTATCTCCTCTTCTTTGGTAGTGAGGAGACTGCACCAGTGTAATCTTCACAGAGATTTGCACTGAATTAAACACATACTAGATTAGGGGTGTAGTTGTTGATACTGTCATCAGACCTGCATTTGCTTCAGAACAAAAGCCCACAAGGTACTATTTGTCCTTCCAATGCTCTCTGGAAAATGTAAATATACTAAAGCTTTAGGAATTTAAGTTTTACATTTCAATAGCAAGACAGGTGTTCATGTGAAGGTTGCTTTCAGTAGAAACACAGGCCTTGCTGACTTAGAGGGGTCATTACCTTCTTGTCCACACAAACCCAGTCACTGAGCCAGTTTGGCCCCAGGCAATCATGGAAACCACATCTCAACTGTAAAATATGAAACTAGGTGACTAAATTAGCAAATTTTGAGATCTGGCAGTCAACCTGCAGTTTAGTGTGGTTTTTACATTTAGCTGTTAAATGAATATAAATATTTTCATACACAGTGGACCAGAAACACTTTTGACTGAAATAATCTCTCCTCCTTCAAAATTTTAGCCAAGAAGTGTCCTTACAACATGCAGTATGAGGAGTGTGGCTCCCCCTGTGCTGACACATGCACCAATCCTGAACCATCTCAGTTTTGTGAAGAACACTGTATGGACGGTTGTTTCTGCCCACCAGGCAAGTTATTATGTACTCACAATTCTGATCTCAAAGAACAGCAGCAGCTTACCTGTAGGATTTGAGCAGGTTCCTTGGGGTTTAAATTCCCTTTACTCACAGCTGTAAATGACCAGTATTTGTCATGTCTCAGCTGAGAAAAGAAACATGAATTAAATGCCAATATATGTGCAACATTAAGAAAGCAGGAAAGCAGAACAGTAAACAGTTCAAGGCCAGTACCCCAACAAGATACTTATTGTACTACAGTAAGTACCTTTTTCAAAGCAGATGGAGTTTAAGAATATAAAGGTTGAATCCTTCATTGTACGAACTGGCACAGTCTTACTGGCCTCAGCATAGGTATGTCCATTCATGATAGCTGCAGATATAAAATGATATTTAGGATTTGTAGCAAATAGAAATGGTGTATAGGAAATACCTCTTTAACTGATCAAGTTTTTTGTCTTTATTTTGTTAATCTAGGGACTGTATTTGATGACATCAATAAATCTGGCTGCATCCCCCGTCAGCAGTGCTCCTGTGTTTACAATGGCAATGCATACGCCACAGGAACTTCCTTTTCAGGGCAATGTCATTCCTGGTAAACTTTGTAAATTTTCCAACTTACTATTTCCTCTCACATACTGAGTTTAATGGTTTATTATGCGCAATTGCATCATTGTTAATTGATATGCGTGTTTAACTGACCGCTACAATTCCAAAATATCAATAAAGAACATTCTGTGTTTCATTTAGCAACAGCCTTAACAAGCTTTGCACTCTAACTCAAGGTGATGAAAGCAAGGATTTACCATGTTTAGATTTCTTACCAGTCAATTAAAATGCTTCCTCTTTGTTTATTTTGTTCAAACATGTGGACTTCTCTGAAGGGAATGAAATTGGCATTATTTATGTATTTGCAGATACTTATTTTCTGTGGAGAAAGGAAGGGATGACACACTACAGCCTCTATTTTACAGTTATTAATCCTGTACTTGTATACTACCACATCGCCTTAGAAAACAGAGATACTCTGCATTAAGAATAGACATGGGGTTATATTTCTGTTAGTTTTGGACATATCTGAATAACAAACCAGAAGAGATTTTAATTTGTTGTTGTGATTTATGTTAGCTACAAAACCCAAGCAATTAATCATCCAATACCTGTTGCTGGAGAGTTCACCTGTTCAAAGGAGGAAAACAACTAAATAAGCAAAGTGAATGCATTCCAGAGTCATTCCTTTTAAAGTGTTGCATCATGCGTTCACAATGTTTTAGAAAGTCCTAAACCTAGATTTACTGTGTGTCAACCTACAACCTGAAGGAAAAAACAGTAGCAAAATAGCGGAACCCAATTTCACCATAATTCCTTATACTCTGGATCCCTGTTACCCATTTCAGCTAATGTGATTCTTTCTCTTCCAGTACCTGTAATGGAGGCCAGTGGCGTTGTGAAAACACATCATGCCCAGGAACATGTTCAGTAGAGGGAGGTTCACACATTTCCACATACGATAAAAAATATTATGATCACCATGGAAACTGCACTTATGTCCTTTCTAAGGTGGGAAGCAAATATTACTAGGTCATAAAGCCTTACACATTTACAGAAAGAAAAGTTCATCTCAGTTAACACTTTTGAAACTTACCTCTTTTGACATAAAGAGGTTCAATTGCCTCTCAGTTAGCCAGATGTTTACTAGAACATATGCTGCCATTCAAATGGCAATCATCAGTTAACTATTAGACTGTCATGCAACAGTATATGGTGTTTACTGGGGAATTTCCAGTTCCTTGATGTAGTATTTGTTGAAAAGCACATCTGCATTCCTCAGTGTGATTAATCCAGCTTTCTGAGTTGCAGAATTTTTGCCATGTTACTGTGTTGTACAGTATTGGGCCAAATGGTACAAGTCTGAAAAACTACACTAGTTCTGAAGGAAAAAAAAAAAATTCAATTTATACGACCTACGTTTTTATTTAATTTCTGGGAAGTTCAAATACAGAAAATCATTTCAAGTCAAATGACATATTTCATTTAGGTTTTGAACCTTTTTTAAATAAATTCAAAAAAAAGTCAAAAGAAATAGAAAAATTAAAAGTTAATTATAATCAAAATATTTAACTAAGGCAATGTACAAGTATTTTTCTTTATCTTTTAGGGGCTGTTTCTGTTCCTTCTTTCCTTTCCTTTTCCCTCTTCCCTCATCCGCATGATTCAGAAAAAAAAAAAAAAAAAAAGCAGCTATATCTTATTGCTCTCCTGAAAAACGTTTTATCTGAAATTTACATCTAGCATTGATACCACCTACAGAAAGAAAAGACAGCAGAACTGAATCAAACATTATAAGTATGCATGAATAAAAGCTCCAGATATGTATATCATTAATAAAATGCAAATTTTCACATTGTTCCTAATCATTACAAAAGGCAAAACTGAATCTTAGGCCAAAGAAGGCCAGGGATTCAGGAGAAACTGTCCCCTCTTCAGAAACGGGTATATTTTTCAGAGTTGAGGGAAAATTTTACAGGGAAAGCTTCTGTAAGTAAGCTTTTCATGAAATAACTGTTGGCATTTTTTTTTTCAGCACTGTACAGATGGAACATTTGCCATCCTGGTAGAACTACGCAAATGTGGCCTAACAAAAACTGGGACATGCTTAGAGACAGTGACCCTCAACATGAATAAAGGACAAACTGTAAGAATGCAAAATAAGCATGGGAAATAACTACTGAAAATATGGGAGCAAAGAAACTAAGCCTTAATTCATCAGGGAACTGAATTTTTCTCTCAAATGGTCAGCATATGTGATAAGTACATGTTATTTTTAATCCAGTGAAAAGAAATTTATTTTTTAATGAAAATCAGATCGGCCATAAATTTGGCTTTCTGGAAGTTCATTAAGAAAGACACTGTAGTCACCAAGCAGAAAAAAAACTATTTTCTCTGCCAATTAGATGGAAAAAAACATAAGCTTTTAAGTTAGAAACTACAACTGTTAAGGGATGTAATTCATCACAAAGATAGATACATTTAAAGAGACCAAGGTGCTGTAATTCCCTAAGAAGCTGAGAAAGTCTCTTTAGAAATAATTCTTTTATTACAGGAAATGTACAAATCGGAATGAGAGAGGAGGTGAAGTCACAAAAAACCTACCCTTTTAATCTCTTTAATTAATATCACTGTAGTCATCACTATTAGTACTCCCTGGACTATAGTTATCCTTCACACAATTTCCTCTTGTTCCTCTTCATTACCAGCTCATCGAGGTCAAACCTGATGGTGGTGTGTATGTGAACTCCATCTATACCCAGCTGCCCATTTCATCAGGTATTTCTTTCTCTAACATTCTCTGAGCAATAAGAACAAAACTTCAACTCCACAACTGCTTATTTTCTTAACGGAAGATAAAGGGACTGTGAGTTGTTCAGAACCTGCATATTCGTATCTCCCAGTTCTCTTTGGAATATTTCCTGAGTGACACAAGTGCTTTTGAGGTAGAAGTGGGAAGTTTGATGTCATGAAGAAATGTGAGACAGTACAAGCATAGGAAAGAGTTCAAACAGAAACAAACAGCATTTACACTCTCCTGATTTGTTCAGTGTAAGGTTTATTTCCTTTTCACTGCCAAAAACTGAACACAGAAGATGCTTCCTCAGAAGTTTGATTTTTGCTCTTCTGTCTCAATAAGTAGCAATTCTGTGTGGTATCTCTGACCTCCTGATCCACTTATTTTCCATTTCCAGCAGAGTAAGGGCTCCAATTTATGCTGTATAAGCTTAGCAAAAGTATTCTTTTTAATGCTTAGTGCCATACAGTTTTTCCTTCTTACTCTGAAGGAGTAATAGCCATCTGCTTAACGTTGAGAGAGTGAATAAAGTTAACAACCTGGTAGCAACAATCAAATTCTGAACTGTAAATTTTGATTCATATTTCTGATACATTTTCATAAAGATTGGCTTTATTTCACCTCAGAATTTGCAAAAGTTGTGATAGAAATTTAAGGAGAATAGTATAATGGTGTACTGTTTCCAGCATTTGACCTCACTCAGAAAGTGACCATTCCGTTCTTCATCTGTAGCTAACGCTAATGTGTTCAGACCATCATCATTCTTCATCATCATGCAGACAAACTTTGGTGTCCTCCTTGAAATTCAAATTATACCCATGATGCAAGTGTTTGTGCGACTGGATCCTATTTTCAAAGGGCAGACATGTGGTAAGTGAATGAAATACAAGAACACGTTGCTTAATGTCTTTTGTCTAGTATGAGCAATACAAACTTTTCACTGCTTTTCAACAGGTCTCTGTGGCAATTTCAATGATCTCGAAACTGATGACTTCAAGGTTATAAGTGGAATAACTGAAGGAACAGCAACAGCATTTGCTGATACATGGATGACTCAGGCTTCATGCCCTAAAGTCCAGCGCAGTTTTGAGAACCCTTGTGCACTCAGCATTGATAATGGTGTGTGCTTCTTAGATTTTTTTACTGTTCTTGTTATTTATTACTAAAGAAAACACATATGTTGTAAAGCAAAGATAAGAGAAGAAAGACTTACATGCTTGGTAAAAACATAGCTCTGAAACCAGGAAAAAATGAATGCACTAGGGATAATTAACAAAGTCAATAAGGCTTTTCTTAGTAAGAGTTAGAGAAATGTAACTGAAGGAAATTGAAGGAACCTTAGCCCAGATGCTGAGTGGAAAAAACAAACAAACAAAAAAGGATAAGAAAAAGAGAGACTTTATGTGATTTCAGAACTGGCTTCACAGCCCAGGGCAGAGGGTTTTTTTTTTTTTTTAATGAAATACAAAGAGTATTTGTACTGTTTGTTTTTTTTCACAGAAAAATATGCTCAGCACTGGTGTGGACTACTAACTGACAAGAAAGGACCTTTTGCTGATTGTCACTATGCAGTGAATCCCTCTGATTACCACATGGTATTTTGTTAGACTGTTTTTCCCCTTAGAAAAAAATAGAAATAGGGTCATTACAACTAGCTACCAGAAAAGGACTGTTCCATATATCTCTCTCATCTTACGCAATGCCTGTATTTTCATTTCTGTACAGCAGCACTTCCTTCTCTCAACGTGTGTTTCTGTTTGTGTCGTAACATTACCTTATTTCAATTGTCAGTCTTGGCTTCAAGACCCTGACTTGCTTGCAAATGAAAAGGCAGCTATTTACTCCTGGATGGATACACACACGCAGTAACAAGTGTATACAAAGGCATGTCAAATGCTTGTTTGAATATCAGTAAATTGTTGTCTCATCAGCCTCATCTAACTAATAAATAGTTGTCACAGAAAGCCCATTAGCTAATTTTCAGTATTCTGCTATCAATGTTTTACCAATCTTTCTTCTCACTATGAATCACCCAGATACGGACACTGGTGAAATGATGTTTCTAGATTGCGTACCATGAACAGAGCTTTGTATGCTATTCTGCAGCATATTCGTAAAAACGGTTCAGAGGGACATGAAACTCCTAAATGTATAACAGACTTTAAGACCACTGTCTCCCAGTAATAACTGCACACATCAACTGAATTTCCATTACCTTCACTCTTCCTGGCCAGGCAACTCTAGACAAACATTGGAAAAGTTTGCTAAAAAATATTGCTAAAGCTATATTAGTGTTGTTTATGAGTGAGCATATCTGAGGTAGGATTAGTGCGTAAGACCAGGAAGATAATGCTCTTTCTTTTTAGACTGACAGTTTTACCAGTGCTGAGACTATTTTTCTCTGCATTTTTAGAACTGCATGTATGACACATGTAACTGTAAAAATAGTGAGGACTGTCTGTGTGCAGCCCTGTCTTCCTATGTGAGAGCTTGTGCTGCAAAAGGAATACAGCTGGATGGATGGAGGACCGATGTCTGCTGTAAGTACTCTTAATTATCCCCTCTCCTATGAATACACATCAATAAAAACTGCTGGTCAGGGACTATTTTATACTGATTTCTAGACAATTATAATAAGTGGTGAGGAAGGGATTTTGTTAAGTGAACTTCTGGAAGTAATTCTCTGCTGTTCCCTTAGAATCAATCCATTGCTAGCAAGAGTGAATACAAACAGATAGAAAACGTAGGCTGCCTAGGAAAGAGACTGCTGTTATAGAAGTGTTTCTATGCAACTTTGAATTTCATTACAGCTTCATGTATGACAAGTTACTGTAGAGTAAATGTGACATACTAGAGTAACGGTACTAGTAATTCTAACCAGAATACTTGCAAATGAAAGGTCTCTGAAGCTGCATGCTGGGTTCCACCACCAGTAGGTCTGTTTTCAGTATACGAGGAGACATTCAGGAAGATACCTTATTTCATACTTAAAAAGGTATAGAAATTTTGCCAGCACCAAATGGAGGTTTCTTTCTGAAATTTCATTCAAGAAAATATTTTCTTCTTTGCAAACATCACATAATCCACATGTACAGTAGATTTTCAGATCTAACTCTGGAAGTATTCAGAAATACATGAAAGATACAACATAGGCAGAGTTATGCAGTATTGTGTACATGTTATTTCTACTGCCTATGGTTTCTTTTTCCCCATCAGAAATTACCACCTGGAATTAACAAATCTATTTTATTTTTCTCTCTCAAGCAAAATACACCTCATGTCCCAAATCCCTAAGCTACAGCTATAACATCTCTTCCTGTCAACCCACTTGTCGATCTCTGAGCGAGCATGATGTCACATGCAAAATTAAGTTTGTCCCAGTTGATGGCTGCACCTGCATAAATGGAACTTACATGGATGAAAGTGGCAGATGTGTGCCTGCTACTGAATGCCCCTGCTACTACAGAGGATCTCCCATATCATCTGGAGAAACTGTCCAAGCAAATGGGCTTGTATGGTAAGTGAATCCGTTGCAAAACACTCAAGCAATACTGTATATATTTTCTCATTAGAATCTGCTACATTTAAATTGGTCTCAGCCTGTCCTGCTTGAATTTCAATACAATGCTGTCTCATTTTTTTTCAACTTTTAAGAAGGTGCATATTTCCCTGAGCTTGAAGGAGAATATGCTGTACCACTGAAACATACGTAAGGCAATGGGGCCAGCTGGGATCGATCCAAGTGTACTGAGGGAGCTGGTGGAAGTATTCACCATTTGCAAGCATTTTTCAGCAGTCCTGGCTAACAGGCAAGGTCCTAGTTGACTGGAGGTTAGCAAATCTACAAAATCTAGTCATCTACAAAAAGGACCAGAAGAAGGATCTGGGGAACTGCAAGCTTGTCAGTCTGACCACAGCGACAGGGAAGGTTATAGAGCAGATCATCATGACTGCCATCACTCAGGTGATCAGGCGCAGTCAGCACAGCTTTATGAAAGGCAGGTCCTGCTTGACAGACCTGATCTTCTGTGGCAAGGTGACCCACTTAGTGGATGAGGGAAAAGCTGTGGATGTTGTTTACCAAGACTTTAGTAAAGCCTTTGACACTGCTTCCCACAGCATTCTCCTGGAGAAAATGACTGCTCATGGCTTGGACAGAGGCACTCCTTGCTGGTGAAAAACTGGCTGGATGGCCAGGCCCAAAGAGTGGTGGAAAATGGAGTTAAATCCAGTTGGCCCTGGCCACAAGCAGTGTTCCCCAGGGCTCAGTGTTGGATATCACATGAAAGCAGCACTGGTAGTGGTATTAAGGGAAATTCTTTCCTTTGGAAATTCTGAAACTTGACAAGAGAGAAGTAGCTCTCAGTCTCAATACATGATTTAAGAGATTTTTCTTTTTTTTTTTTCCTCTCTTGCAGCACGTGCATCCAGGGAAGACTGGATTGCACTGGAGAACCCAATCCAGATCGAGGTGAATAAAAATAAAAATCTTCTTCCACTTTTCTGTGACAGGTTCTGGACAGAAATAGTTGATATAATTGATTGAAATGATAAAATCTTAATGGAATTTTAAATAATAGAAGTATTTTTGATTTAGTTACAGTGCAACAGTTATCATAAAAGGCAAGAGTGAACCCAAATTAATGATAGGATTTCTTTTTCATGATGATTTTTTTCTAAAATACTGAGGGTTTTCTCTGGTAATTCAGTGCTCTGAAATGAATCTATTTAATACAGACAGCAATCCTTACTAATTGAAATATGTAAGTCCAAAGGATTTCTAGAGGGTTTTAATGGCTAGAGATGAGCCATTTCTGATTGCTCTCATTTCTTTCCTTCCTTTAGTCTGTGAATCTCCCATGGTCTACTTAGACTGTAGAAACATCAGTGAAGGAACAACTGGAACAGAATGTCAAAAAAGTTGTCAGACTCTGGATATGCAGTGTGTAAGTATTGCAGGGCTGGATGAAATTGTGCTTCCAGGTTTTGTTTGTGCTTTTGGTGGTAAAGTAACTGATCTATCTGATCCACTCCAAATCTACAACATAGATACTTTGTTCTTGTAGCAAAAGCCTAAAACCATGTTATAAACCATTAATAATGGGACCCTTAGACAAAAATATAATAAGGTAACATCCAATTTAATTCATAATATTGGTGTCTACCTTTCTTCAGCTACTGCAGGTAACAGTAATTAGCAGTGAAAATATCTAGGACACATATTTTACTTCTTTAGGAGAAAATTACTGGCTATGAACTGGGTAGGAGAAATAATTCTTTCTTATACCATAATGCAATTAGGAACTTCTTTCACACATAATTATAATATTCCATCTAAATGCATGCCACATACCATTTTGTGAATAAGTACCATGGGAGATAAATACATTTTGATGTAAACCAATCAAACCTAAAAAATATTATGTATTTTCTTTTTAAAGCTCCATTCAGTCACCAACTACAAAGTGCAAGGCTGCTTCAGCTAATACAGAGCAAGACTTACAATTCAATGTACTTTAAATTTCACAGACTGTAGCAGAGTAATCAGGATTGGCATACACAAAACATCTTTAACAGATATATATTCTATTAAATCAATGGCTAATAAATTCCAGTTTGTTCCATTGTCCTATAAGTACTTTGTAGTCCTCTCTCATTTAAGATAGGCAGCAATAAGACCATATAAAGACATTTTATTTTAATGTTTTTCTATTGCAAATATTTAATTCTGAAATTTTACCTTCTCTTGACTTTTCTAGTATAGCATGCATTGCATATCTGGTTGCGTGTGCCCAGCTGGGCTTGTGTTACATGGGAATGGTGATTGTATTCCTGAAGAGGAATGTCCATGTATTCACAATGAAGCCATGTATCAGCCTGGGGAAAAGATCAGCGTTGACTGTAACACCTGGTAACTATTTCCTCAGAAGTATCATTCCTGGTTCCATCATTTGTCTTTCCAAAGAACTTACATAGTAGAGCAGTAAAGAAATATTTGGATTACACATGTCACCAACTGACAGATCTCTTAGTTGTGGATTAAACAGTATGAGATGGTTTCCTTCTGATGTAGACAGATAGCCAAAGCGCAGAATGGGAAGAAGTCTTTGGGACTACAGTGTTCATTTCGTATTACCCTGTTTTGCAGTTAATGCATTCAGAGTGGCACAACAGAACTTTGCTTTAATACTTCACTTAAAAAATTATTTTCACTCCAGAATCAGTACAACATTACCAGGGATGAATTGCCAAACAAATACTGATTTGATGGGATGTGTCTACACAAAACAGTGAGTTGTTCTATTATTAAAATGTTTTATTCTCACTCCTAGTGTATGCAAGAATAGGAAGTGGGAATGCACCAAAGATCAATGTCTGGGCACTTGTGCTGTTTATGGAGATGGTCATTATAATACCTTTGATGACAAAAGGTTCAACTTCAATGGAAACTGTGAATACACACTAGTCCAGGTACTGATAATTAGCAATAGTAAATGAGACTTTACCTTGACTGTGTCTACAAAAATAATGTATTTTAAAATGTTATTCTCCACCCAGGACCACTGTGGGATGAGTGGCACAGCCAATGGAACCTTTCGGGTTATTACTGAAAATATTCCCTGTGGCAACAGTGGGACAACTTGTTCAAAATCTATCAAAGTTTTCTTAGAGGTAAGAAGAACAACTTCATTCTGTAACTGGTTAGGGCTCAAGAGAAGCCTAAATATCCATTGCGTCAAGGAAGTTGGAAAATTAAGCTTAAATCAGATTGAAGTGAAATATTTGGTAGAGCTTCCCAGCTTTCTATCTTTTCCTTTTCCCACATGTCCTGGGTTCAGCAGTAGCAGTCATGTTTCTCCTCCTTGGTAGCTGGTGCAGTGCAGTGTTTTGACTTTCAGCTCGGGAACAGAGCTGATAGCGATGTTTTGGTTTGGCCAAGGACTTTGTGAGCCTCATGCTCTGCCAGGGAGGAGGGGAAGCCAGGAGGAAGCAGAGACAGGACACCTGACCCAAAGTGACCAAAGAGCTATTCCATACCACAGCACGTCATGCCAAGGATGTAACTGGGAGTTAGCCGGAAGGGCTGGGAGTCTGCAGGGTTGGAGGAGGTATCAGTCGGAGCTTGGTCGGGCTTGGGGGGCGAGTGATCGGTCGGCTGGTGCTGAGGTGTTGTATTCTCTTCCCTTGTTATTTCCTTTATCATTATTATCATTGGTGGTAGCAGTAGTGATCTGTGTTATACCTTAGTTACTAAACTGTTCTTATCTCAACCCGTGGGAGTTGCATTCTTTTCGATCCTCCTCTCCGTCCCTCCGGGAGTAGGGGGAGGGAAAGAAGGGGGGGAGTGAGTGAACGAGTTACCTGACTGGGTTTAAACCACGACACCACACTATTTTATATCACCCTTGGGGAAACTACAGATTTACAGGAAAATAGCAGAAATTAGCCCATCATGTCATAATTGTTTTATTCTGTGCAATTTAGATCCTCCATGAGTGCCAAAATTTTTTTTTTTTGACCTATGCCGCTTCAAATACCTTTCTACCACAGTTCCTGGAACCTAAAATTTGAACTATGTAGTTTTATCACATTTGGATTATTTGTTTTCATTATATAAAATATGCATAGTATCCTTAAAAAGAGAAAAAGAGCAGAGCTGCAGCTACTGAGTTCATTTCTAATCACCTTTTCCTCCTGTTTCAGAGCTATGAACTGATACTTGGCGAGGAGCATGTCAGTGTCATAAAGAGAGGACAAAATAATGAGGTGCCATACACAGTCCGCTATATGGGTATGTACGTGGTAATTGAGACCACAAGTGGACTGATACTCATGTGGGACAAGAAAACCAGCATCTTCATCAAGCTCAGCCCTGATTTTAAGGTGCGGAACTAGCAGTTAAATGGCAATTTACAGTCCAGATTTGGACTGTGTGTGAATTTTCTTGAGACCCTGCCAAGATCCCAAACAGGTGATGTCTCTAGCATTCCTAGGACATCCCACGTTGTTTCCCATTCCTCTGGTGCCTCAGGAAGCCATGACATCATCCTGCTGCTCTTCTGAGCTCCGAAGGCAGCTTTCAGTGCCTACTTGGCCTGACAGAACTTGAACTGGCAAACTGCTTTCTGGGACTTTGTTAAAATTACCCACTGAATCTTGGTAAAGGTTATCAGACCTTACTAAAATTACATAGCTGCATGTGTCAAAACAAATTGAGTAGTCGTGATCTTGAAAGTAATCCATTGTTTCCAGTACTCATTGACACACAAATCACATTATCATACTTTAAGAACAAGGAAGTGAAATATTAGGAGTGAAAGCCTCTTGTAAAATGCTGCCATGTGTTTTGCAAGCATGATTTACACAGGTGATAAGGGAAATGTATTTCTGTTCTCATACCCCTTCTTCTAGCTTAATATATGTAAGTCCTAAAAAGTGTAGTAGATGAGTAATTTGCTATCTTACTGCATACAGCAGTAACTTTTCAGAATCATAAAATCATAGAATCAACTAGATTGGAAAGACCTTTAAGATCATCAAGTCCAACTGTTCCCCCAGCACTGCCAAGTCCACCAATAAACCCTGTCACTGAGGACCTCATCTACATGGTTTGTGAACGCTTTCAGGGGTGGTGATTCCACCACTTCCCTGGGCAGCCTGTTGCAATGCCTGATAACCCTTTTGGTGAAGGATTTTTCCTAATATCCAATCTAAACCTCCACTGGTGCAGTTTGAGGCCATATTCTCTTGAATTAAGTGTAATTTAGAACTAGATATACAAATTAATTTCAGTATCATAGGTTATTTTGCTGCCTCATCCACTGGAATTTTATACAAATAGTAGTAATATGGAAAGTATGCACCTTAGATTCATTGAGAGAGCATAACATCTACTGCAGCCTATCAGTTTTACAGATCCATAAATTTAGAATGAGGGATGTTTCTGGATGTTCAAGGAAAATGTAATTCTTTTTTATACCTGTGACCAGTTGCAACAGTAAAGACTCAATGAGCAGACAATGTGGCAGGACTGGTAGTGTTTATGCACTTTCTAAGGCTGTTTTTTATATGTACATCTACTGTATAAAACAGGGCTTAAATTGAGAACTCAGTTAACTGAATCCTTGTTTCATCATTAAAGACACGCCTCAGAAGACTGAAAGTTAGAATGACAAGGATGGTTTTATTGTGCAGATTTAAAAGAGAAGTCAAAAGCATTATCCCTCTAGCAGTAGTCGTTCTGTTGCTGACGAAACAAAGAATTAAGGTGTTCAGGAATGTTAGAATGGAATGGAATTTCAAGTACTTTTTCAGCCTCAGATGTTGCTTCAAGGTTTCTCTCATCCATTATTATTTTGTTTACTTCTTTTTGCAGGGCCAGGTCTGTGGCCTCTGTGGAAATTATGATGGCAGCGGCATCAATGACTTTACTACAAGGAGTCAGTCTGTGGTAGAGAATGTCCTAGAGTTTGGAAACAGCTGGAAAGTATCCTCTACATGTCCTGATGCTTCCAGCATAAAGGACCCCTGTTCTACCAACCCTTATCGAAAATCCTGGTCAGAGAAACAGTGTAGCATCATCAACAGCAATGTCTTTGCTGCCTGTCACTCTCAGGTATTACCAGGGCAAAAGTTCACTTCTAGTGTGAAGACTAGGTCTATGTATTATTGAAGCTGCTATCCTCATACATTTTCACATGCATGCCTAATTTGCTAGTAATTCACTGGTTATGTTTCACTCTGAATTGTGTCAGGAAAACTTCAATATGAATCCCACTCATGGGACAGATTTATAGTCCCTACCTGTAAGAAATAAAAGGATATCTAGTTCAAAGGAAATACTGACATATTACAAAAGAATGATAGTTTAATAATTACTATTTTCTTGCAGTGTGGCAGAAATAAAAAATTTCATATACCATGTGCAGAACACAAGCTCAACAAAATAATAATACAGTAATGAAGTATCAGCATAGCCTTTATCTGACACTAAGTATATACCAAACAATGCAGGGTAACTGTGCTCTTCCTATTTAGTTCTTTCCACTGGCAGAGACATTAATCTTCAAGTACAGTTGCATATTGCTTGCAAACATGAATCTAATCTTCTACTAGGACCCAAGTCTGGATGTCGAAAAATCTGTCAATACATGGTTCAGATGTATAATCTGGCAACACCTCTGATGTTTAACAGTGTATATAAAGCAAAAGAAAAAAAATTACTGACGTAAGCCTTTCTTCTGAAATACTACAGTTTTAAGAAAATTACTTTAGCAAAGCTAAGAAAGAATTTAGATGGTAGGATATATAGTATTACATTTCTTTTTATTAACAGGTTGAACCAGCAAAATACTACCAAGCATGTGTGACAGATGCTTGTGCATGTGACACTGGAGGAGACTGTGACTGCTTTTGTACAGCAGTAGCTGCCTATGCTCAAGCATGTAGTGAAGTTGGTGTCTGCATAGCCTGGAGAACCCCATCAATCTGTCGTGAGTTTTATGTCATAAATACTTCTTCTGCAAGTGGAGTTAAATTCATAGCGCCTTGCTTAACACACACTCTAGGTATCTTATGTATGTGCATTATAATCTCACTATGTAGACTTTTCACACTAAGCTGTTTTGATGGTGACACAATTTCACCTACTCATTCCCAGTTTTCAGGACTGTTCAAGCAGCACTGCAGTAATATGATGAACTGGCATGAGTCAAAAAAAGCTCTTTTTTATTTTCTTTTTCTGAGCATGTCCAAATTCTATTTCTCCTTAGCACTGTTTTGTGATTACTACAATCAACAAGGGGAATGTGAATGGCACTATAAGCCTTGTGGAGCCTCCTGTATGAAGACCTGTAGGAATCCAAGTGGAAAATGCCTCCATAACTTGTCAGGTTTAGAAGGTAAAAAAAGCTGCAACTACCTTATTTTGTTATAGTTCTACTACTTTCTACGGAGTGTATTTCACCATCAGCTGCATTTGCACCACTCCATTCTCTTCAACATTGTTGCATTCACGCAAATGGAGGCAAAGTATGGAAAGTGAAGTTAAAAACATCTGTAAGACCAAGTACTTGTGGGTGGGCTCTGCTGATGCTAGTACTCTGCACTACTTCCTAGAATTATTGGAAAAAAATAAGTAGCAAAATTATGACTATTAAAAACAAGACCTGCAAACATATTCTGCACAAATAAAAATTTTGCTCACTGTAGCGCATTCTTGCCTATCTCCTATATGTCCTTTTCCTTCCTTCAGGCTGCTACCCTAACTGCCCACCAGACAAGCCATATTTTCATGAGGACCAGATGAAGTGCGTTAGTCTCTGTGACTGTTATTATAACGAAGATGGAAAGATATACATACGGGATGAATGCCATGTATGGTAAGAATCAACATTCCAACCTAATCATGTACAAGGAAAAATAATCGAAACAGCAGTGGGAAATTGCATGTTCCTGTTACAGGACAGGACTAGTTAACACTGCTTGTGTAAACATAATATCTTACTATATAATGCCAGTTTTCTTACTACATTAGTAGGAAGAAGTTCATATGTGATTTTATGTTCAGTTGAATTTGTTCCTGGTTATGCTGTAAATCCTCCGCATAAAGATACAATAAGAACAGTAAGTCCTTTATGACGAGGCTTTCTCTATTTCCAATTCCTATGGCAGGAAAAATATTGTTCCAGGAGTATAAATATATAATAGGGGTCTACTTCCAAGGATTTTATTACATTCTTATACCACTTGTAGTATTTAGACTCTTTCCCTCTTTAACCTCCCTTTTAGTACAAAAATATTGCAAGTACAAAGAAAGGACAAGACTTCCTCCTGTAGCTTTGCATAATACATAGCTTCACTTCTATTCGTAAGTTTGGGTTACTATAAAGAAAGATTTTAGAAAATTACAGGAAAAGAAAAAAACCCAACACGAACTGGACATTCAAGGAATAAACACAAATAAAGTGTCCTGTACTTTGATGCAAGTATCTGGCAGAACAAGATGATTAATAAAATTATCTCATAATAAAAAAATATGGAGATTTATATTTTCTCAGTGTTTTTTTTTTTTAATTGTCATTTCAGTGAATGCACATCAGATGGTTTAGAGTGCAAGTTTGATGATAAAGGTAAGACAGCTAAGAACTATTAAGAAAATAAAATACTGGATATTATCTTTTCATAGATGCCTGATAGTAAACTTCCTTTGAATTACAGCATGCCACTGCATTTATGAAGGGAACAACTATAAATATGGTGAAGTCATCTACAACACCACAGATGGAACTGGATGGTGTTTCACTGCAACATGTGATGTCAACGGAACAATTAGCAGAAATATCTCTAAATGTGGCATCTTTACAACAACCCCACTTCCTTTTCTTACAAGTCAGTTCGAAACTACTGCTTCAGGTATGCATGAATACTCTTTAAAATAACTGAAAAAATGCCTGGAAGGGATGGAAAATTGCTAAAATGGAGGGCCCTTTCATTAGTTAAGGACATAAAATTTTACTTGAAACTGTTTACTCCCAGTGAAACCACCAATTCTTTTGGCAGGTTCAGTTGCTAAAGATGACCATAATCGAGGATGTAGAAATGAGTACAGCAATTCTTACAGACTCAGTCTGCGCTGTTTCACCATGTTTTTTCCAAGGGAAAAAAATTAATACACCTTACTAATCATTGCACCTTGGAGAACCTCCTCATTTCCTTGCATACAAAACCCAGCAGCTCTAGACAGACTTCAGAAAACACAAGAGACTGCCATTTTTTAAATAACTGACTACATTAGCGCAAACTGAAGATAAGACATCTAACTTGAGGACATGCTCAAATTACTTAAAACAATTCTCTGGAACCTTTCCCAATTGTATATAAAAACTAAATCAATAGTTGCTTTCTAGTCCTGCAGTACAATTCTATATTATTCCTGCAGTTAACTTATTACAGTGACCATGTAATTCTGAGAAATTGTGCAAAGTATTTCCACAAAATTATACAATATGTCAGCAAGAACTAAACATTGAACTTTAAGACTTCTATTAAGTAACATCCGTCTGAAGAAAGTGGCATATATTCCACATGGTTATATCTTTAAAATGCTAAGAATATGAAAAGAAATATGCAAAAAAGACTAATTAGATTATATATTCCTATATATTATGTTAGTGGATTCCATATTATAATGTATTATATATAAAATACATATGTTAAATATATATCTTATATTTATAAATATATTACAGGTTATATTAACAGAAGTAGAAAACTCATTAACCCGGAAAAATATTTCAAAGCCTCTGTGCTTATGCAATTAAGAGCAAATAAGTACAGAGGTAATACCAAGGAGAATAAAACCTCCTCTTACTTAAACCATAGCAATCATGAGATCACATTATCCTATATATTGCTGTTCCACATTAGCTATATTTACATGCAGCATTTAATAAATGTCATATAAATTATCACTAGAAAAAGAATACAAAAATCAGATCAAAACATACCTGAGAAATTAAATTCAAAACTGTAAAAGCAATATCATTAGAATTAAAAGACTAAATTAACATATATGATATTAGATCCAACATTAACAAATATGGAAGATGAGCCCTGACACCGTCTTTAATAAAAATAGATGAGACTTATATTTCCTCAATTTCATTACAGAAATGACAACTGCAGCACCAGTGACAACTGTATGTGTGAAGAATATATGTTCGTGGTCAGAATGGTATGACTGCACACAGCCTGAAAATAAAGAGGATAGTGGAGATTATGAAACATTTGAAAATCTCAGAGAAAAAGGATACAGTGTGTGTAAAAACCCAAACAATGTTCAATGCAGAGCCAAAGAACACCCAAATATAGAAATAAACAATCTTAACCAAACAGTTAAATGTAGTCTCAGTACAGGATTAATATGCAATAACAAAGACCAGCAATCTAAGCACTGCTATAATTATGAAATCAGAATATTATGCTGCAGTTACATACCATGTTCAGAATTACCAACTATGACGGCAAGAACCACAGAATTCACAACTACTGCTGTAAAATCAACACCATTCACAATAAAAACAAAGACACAACAAACAACAAAACATGCAGTAAGTGAAGTAACTACATCACCAACAGAGAGAGAAAGCACAATAAGGACTGTAACTACAGTTACATCAAAAACACCACAAATATCAACAACAGGTTACCAGACAACATCAATTAAACAAGAAACATCAACTCTAGAAACCCAAGCTCCAACATCACACGGTACTGCCACCAGCCTCAACCCATCAGGAATAACAACCGCCACTGGCACCACAGCTCTCCCCACTACCACTGTAAGGTCAACACAAGGAACAACCATAGTCACCACCAGCAGCATGGCTAGCACCACGAGGACATCTCCACCTCCAACAGAAGGAACCACCATCATCACTCCCAATCCAATAGTGCCCACATCAGAAGCCAGCAGTGCATTCAGCACTTCCAGGACCACCAAAGGAAGCACCACAACATCCACATCCACATCAACTCCAGCACAAACGTCCTCTCTGCCAACCCAGGCTCCATCAGCACACAGCACTGCCACCAGCCTCAACCCATCAGCAACAACAACCACCACTGGCACCACCATTGTCCCCAGTACCACTGCACCGCCAACAGGAGGCACAACAATCATGCCTACCACCAGCAGGGCCATCACAACAAGGACAACCGCACCTCCAACAGAAGGAACAACCAGGACAACCACAGGAAGCACAACAAAGTCCAGATCCACCTCTACTTCAGCACAAACCTCCAATCCCCCAACAAAGTCTCCAACAGCACAAAGTACTGCAATCAGCCTCAGTCCATCAACAAGGATAACCACCACTGGCACCACCATTGTCCCCAGCAGCACTACACAGCCAACAGAAGGCACAAGCATCACCACTACCACCAGAACGGCCAGCAACACCAGGAACTCTCCACCTCCAACAGAAGGAACCACCAGCATCACACCCACTACAACATCACAAACCTCAGCCAGTAGCAAAATCAGCACTTCTAGGACCACCAAAGGAAGCACCACAACATCCACATCCACATCAACTTCGGTTCAAACATCCACTTCTCCAACCCACGCTCCGACATCTCATAGAAGCGCCACCAGCCTCAGCCCATCAACAACGACAACCACCACTGGAACTACCATAGTCCCCAACAGCACTGCACCACCAACAGAAAGCACAAGCACCGTCATTTCCACCAGCACGGCCAGCACAACCACGACCTCCCCACCTCCAACAGAACGAACCACCATCGTCACACCCCGTAGAACATCACAAACCTCAGCCGGTAGCACGACCACCACTTCCAGGACCACCACAGGAAGCACCACAACGTCCACATCCACATCAACTCCTCCACAAACATCCTCTTTGCCAACCCAGGCTCCAACATCACAAAGTACTGCCACCCGCCTCAGCCCATCAACAACGACAACCACCACTGGCACTACCATAGTCCCCAGCAGCACTGCACCACCAACAGAAAGCACAACCGCCATCACCACCACCAGCACAGCAAGGACCAGCAGGACCTCTCCACCTCCAACAGAAGGAACCACCATCATCACACCCACTACAACATCACAAACCTCAGCCAGTAGCACTATCAGCACTTCCACGACCACCACAGGAAGCACCACAACATCCACATCCACAACGACTCCAGTTCAAACACCCACTTCTCCAACCCACACTCCAACATCTCATAGTAGTGCCACCAGCCTCAGCCCATCAACAACGACAACCACCACTGGCACCACCATAGTCCCCAGCAGCACTGCACCGCCAACAGAAAGCACAACCGCCATCACCACCGCCAGCACAGCAAGGACCAGCAGGACCTCTCCACCTCCAACAGAAGGAACCACCATCATCACACCCACTACAACATCACAAACCTCAGCCAGTAGCACTATCAGCACTTCCACGACCACCACAGGAAGCACCACAACATCCACATCCACATCAACTCCTCCACAAACAACCTCTTTGCCAACCCAGGCTCCAACATCACAAAGTACTGCCACCCGCCTCAGCCCATCAACAACGACAACCACCACTGGAACTACCGTAGTCCCCGGTAGCACGTCACTGCCAACAGAAAGCACGAGCACCGTCACTTCCACCAGCACGGCCAGCACCACCAGGACCTCTCCACCTCCAACACAAGGAACAGGCACCATCACACCCACTCCGACACAGACAACCTCAGCTACAGCCACCACTCTCAGCACCTCCAGGACCTCTACCACCTGCCAGCCACAATGTGTCTGGACTCAGTGGTTTGACGTGGATACCCCCAGCCCCGGGAGTGAAAATGGAGACATAGAGACATTTGAAAGCATCCGAGCCGCTGGGTACACACTGTGTGACCAGCCACAAGACATCAAGTGCCGCGCTAAAGATTACCCTTCTAGGAGTCTGGACAAGTTGGGACAGGTCTTTCAGTGCAGCATCGAATTTGGCCTTGTGTGCAAAAATGAGGATCAGATCACAAAGTACCCCCTGTGCTTCGACTATGAGATTCAGGTGCTCTGTTGTGACACTAAAACCTGCGTGGACACATCAACAACTACAGGTACCACTGCAGGATCCCCCACCACACCCTCTCTAACACAAACCTCCAATCCGCCAACAGAGTCTCCAACAGCACACAGTACTGACACCAGCCTCAGCCCATCAACAACGACAACCACCACTGGCACCACCATTGTCCCCAGTACCACTGCACCGCCAACAGAAGGCACGAGCATCTTAACAACCACCAGCACAGCAAGCACCACCGGGACCTCTCCACTTCCAACAGAAAGAACCACCATTGTCATACCCACTACAACATCACACACCTCAGCCAGTAGCACAATCAGCACTTCCAGGACCACCACAGGAAGCACCACAACGTCCACATCCACATCAACTTCCGTTCAAACATCCACTTCTCCAACCCACGCTCCAACATCTCATAGTAGTGCCACCAGCCTCAGCCCATCAACAACGACAACCACCACTGGCACTACCATAGTCCCCGGTACCACTACACCGCCAACAGAAAGCACGAGCACCGTCACTACCACCAGCACAGCCAGCATCACCGGGACCTCTCCACCTCCAACAGAAAGAACCACCATCATCACACCCACTACAACATCACACATCTCAGCCGGTAGTACAACCAGCACTTCCAGGACCACCACAGGAAGCACCACAACATCCACATCCCCATCAACTCCTCCACAAACATCCTCTTCTCCAACCCAGGCTCCAACATCACAAAGTACTGCCACCCACCTCAGCCCATCAACAACAACGACAACCACCACTGGCACCACCATAGTCCTAAGCACCACTGCACCGCCAACAGAAAGCACAACCGCCACCACTACCACCAGCACGGCCAGCACCACCAGGACCTCTCCACCTCCAACAGAAGGAACCACCATCATCACACCCACTACAACATCACAAACCTCAGCCAGTAGCATTATCAGCACTTCCAGGACAACCACAGGAAGCACCACAACGTCCACATCCACATCGACTCCAGTACAAACACCCACTTCTCCAACCCACGCTCCAACAACTCATAGTAGTGCCACCAGCTTCAGCCCATCAACAACGACAACCACCACTGGCACTACCGTAGTCCCCGGTAGCACGGCACTGCCAACAGAAAGCACGAGCACCGTCACTACCACCAGCAGGGCCAGCACCACCGGGACCTCTCCACCTCCAACAGAAAGAACCACCATCATAACACCCACTACAACATCACACATCTCAGCCAGTACTACGATCAGCATGTCCACGACCACCAAAGGAAGCACCACAACATCCACATCCCCATCAACTCCTCCACAAACAACCTCTTTGCCAACCCAGGCTCCAACATCACAAAGTACTGCCACCCGCCTCAGCCCATCAACAACGACAACCACCACTGGCACTACCATAGTCCCCAGCAGCACTGCACCGCCAACAGAGAGCACAACCGCCATCACCACCGCCAGCACAGCAAGGACCAGCAGGACCTCTCCACCTCCAACAGAAGGAACCACTATCATCACACCCACTACAACGTCACAAACCTCAGCCAGTAGCACTATCAGCACTTCCACGACCACCACAGGAAGCACCACAACATCCACATCCACATCGAATCCAGTTCAAACACCCACTTCTCCAACCCACGCTCCAATATCTCATAGTAGTGCCACCAGCCTCAGCCCACCAACAACGACAACCACCACTGGCACTACCGTAGTCCCCAGTAGCACGGCACTGCCAACAGAAAGCACGAGCACCGTCACTTCCACCAGCACGGCCAGCACCACCAGGACCTCTCCACCTTCAACACAAGGAACAGGCACCATCACACCCACTCCGACACAGACAACCTCAGCTACAGCCACCACTCTCAGCACCTCCAGGACCTCTACCACCTGCCAGCCACAATGTGTCTGGACTCAGTGGTTTGACGTGGATACCCCCAGCCCCGGGAGTGAAAATGGAGACATAGAGACATTTGAAAGCATCCGAGCTGCTGGGTACACACTGTGTGACCAGCCACAAGACATCAAGTGCCGCGCTAAAGATTACCCTTCTAGGAGTCTGGACAAGTTGGGACAGGTCTTTCAGTGCAGCATCGAATTTGGCCTTGTGTGCAAAAATGAGGATCAGATCACAAAGTACCCCCTGTGCTTTGACTATGAGATTCAAGTGCTCTGTTGTGACACTAAAACCTGCGTGGACACATCAACAACTACAGGTACCACTGCAGGATCCTCCACCACACCCTCTCTAACACAAACCTCCAATAGGCCAACAGAGTCTCCAACAGCACACAGTACTGACACCAGCCTCAGCCCATCAACAACGACAACCACCACTGGCACCACCATTGTCCCCAGTACCACTGCACCGCCAACAGAAGGCACGAGCATCGTAACTACCACCAGCACAGCAAGCACCACCGGGACCTCTCCACTTCCAACAGAAAGAACCACCATCGTCATACCCACTACAACATCACAAACCTCAGCCAGTAGCACAATCAGCACTTCGAGGACCACCACAGGAAGCACCACAACGTCCACATCCACATCAACTTCCGTTCAAACATCCACTTCTTCAACCCACGCTCCAACACCACAAAGTACTGCCACCAGCCTCAGCCCATCAACAACGACAACCACCACTGGCACCACCATTGTCCCCAGCAGCACTACACCACCAACAGAAAGCACGAGCACCGTCACTACCACCAGCACGGCCAGCACCACTGGGACCTCTCCACCTCCAACAGAAAGAACCACTATCATCACAACCACTACAACATCACACATCTCAGCTAGCAGTACAATCAGCACTTCCACAACCACCACAGGAAGCACCACAACATCCACATCCCCACCAACTCCTCCACAAACAACCTCTTTGCCAACCCAGGCTCCTACATCACAAAGTACTGCCACCCACCTCAGCCCATCAACAACGACAACCACCACTGGCACCACCATAGTCCCCAGCAGCACTGCACCGCCAACAGAAAGCACAACCGCCATCACCACCACAAGCACGGCCAGCACCACCAGGAGCTCTCCACCTCCAGCAGAAGGAACCACCATCATCACACCCACTACAACGTCACAAACCTCAGCCAGTAGCACTATCAGCACTTCCACGACCACCACAGGAAGCACCACAACATCCACATCCCCATCAACTCCTCCACAAACAACCTCTTTGCCAACCCAGGCTCCAACATCACAAAGTACTGCCACCCGCCTCAGCCCATCAACAACGACAACCACCACTGGAACTACCGTAGTCCCCGGTAGCACGTCACTGCCAACAGAAAGCATGAGCATCGTCACTTCCACCAGCACGGCCAGCACCACCAGGACCTCTCCACCTCCAACACAAGGAACAGGCACCATCACACCCACTCCGACACAGACAACCTCAGCTACAGCCACCACTCTCAGCACCTCCAGGACCTCTACCACCTGCCAGCCACAATGTGTCTGGACTCAGTGGTTTGACGTGGATACCCCCAGCCCCGGGAGTGAAAATGGAGACATAGAGACATTTGAAAGCATCCGAGCTGCTGGGTACACACTGTGTGACCAGCCACAAGACATCAAGTGCCGCGCTAAAGATTACCCTTCTAGGAGTCTGGACAAGTTGGGACAGGTCTTTCAGTGCAGCATCGAATTTGGCCTTGTGTGCAAAAATGAGGATCAGATCACAAAGTACCCCCTGTGCTTTGACTATGAGATTCAAGTGCTCTGTTGTGACACTAAAACCTGCGTGGACACATCAACAACTACAGGTACCACTGCAGGATCCTCCACCACACCCTCTCTAACACAAACCTCCAATCCGCCAACAGAGTCTCCAACAGCACACAGTACTGACACCAGCCTCAGCCCATCAACAATGACAACCACCACTGGCACCACCATTGTCCCCAGTACCACTGCACCGCCAACAGAAGGGACGAGCATCGTAACTACCACCAGCACAGCAAGCACCACCGGGACCTCTCCACTTCCAACAGAAAGAACCACCATCGTCACACCCACTACAACATCACAAACCTCAGCCAGTAGCACTATCAGCACTTCGAGGACCACCAAAGGAAGCACCACAACATCCACATCCACATCAACTTCCGTTCAAACCTCCACTTCTCCAACCCACGCTCCAACACCACAAAGTACTGCCACCAGCCTCAGCCCATCAACAACGACAACCACCACTGGCACCACCATTGTCCCCAGCAGCACTACACCACCAACAGAAAGCACGAGCACCGTCACTACCACCAGCACGGCCAGCACCACCAGGACCTCTCCACCTCCAACAGAAAGAACCACTATCATCACAACCACTACAACATCACACATCTCAGCCGGTAGTACAATCAGCACTTCCACAACCACCACAGGAAGCACCACAACATCCACATCCCCATCAACTCCTCCACAAACAACCTCTTTCCCAACCCAGGCTCCTACATCACAAAGTACTGCCACCCGCCTCAGCCCATCAACAACGACAACCACCACTGGCACCACCATAGTCCCCAGCAGCACTGCACCGCCAACAGAAAGCACGACCATCACCACCACAAGCACGGCCAGCACCACCAGGAGCTCTCCACCTCCAACAGAAGGAACCACTATCATCACACCCACTAAAACATCACAAACCTCAGCCAGTAGCACTATCAGCACTTCCACGACCACCACAGGAAGCACCACAACATCCACATCCACATCGAATCCAGTTCAAACACCCACTTCTCCAACCCACACTCCAACATCTCATAGTAGTGCCACCAGCCTCAGCCCATCAACAACGACAACCACCACTGGCACCACCATAGTCCCCAGCAGCACTGCACCGCCAACAGAAAGCACAACCGCCATCACCACCACCAGCACGGCCAGCACCACCAGGAGCTCTCCACCTCCAACAGAAGGAACCACCATCATCACACCCACTACAACGTCACAAACCTCAGCCAGTAGCACTATCAGCACTTCCACGACCACCACAGGAAGCACCACAACATCCACATCCCCATCAACTCCTCCACAAACAACCTCTTTGCCAACCCAGGCTCCAACATCACAAAGTACTGCCACCCGCCTCAGCCCATCAACAACGACAACCACCACTGGAACTACCGTAGTCCCCGGTAGCACGTCACTGCCAACAGAAAGCACGAGCACCGTCACTTCCACCAGCACGGCCAGCACCACCAGGAGCTCTCCACTTCCAACAGAAGGAACCACCATCATCACACCCACTACAACGTCACAAACCTCAGCCAGTAGCACTATCAGCACTTCCACGACCACCACAGGAAGCACCACAACGTCCACATCCACATCAACTTCCGTTCAAACATCGACTTCTCCAACCCACGCTCCAACATCTCATAGTAGTGCCACCAGCCTCAGCCCATCAGCAACGACAACCACCACTGGCACTACCGTAGTCCCCAGTAGCACGGCAATGCCAACAGAAAGCACGAACACTGTCACTTCCACCAGCACAGCCAGCACCACCAGGACCTCTCCACCTCCAACAGAAGGAACCACCATCGTCACACCCACTACAACATCACAAACCTCAGCCAGTAGCACTATCAGCACTTCCAGGACCACCAAAGGAAGCACCACAACGTCCACATCCACATCAACTTCCGTTCAAACATCCACTTCTTCAACCCACCCTCCAACACCACAAAGTACTGCCACCAGCCTCAGCCCATCAACAACGACAACCACCACTGGCACCACCATTGTCCCCAGCAGCACTACACCACCAACAGAAAGCACGAGCACCGTCACTACCACCAGCACGGCCAGCACCACCAGGACCTCTCCACCTCCAACAGAAAGAACCACTATCATCACAACCACTACAACATCACACATCTCAGCCGGTAGTACAATCAGCACTTCCACAACCACCACAGGAAGCACCACAACATCCACATCCCCATCAACTCCTCCACAAACAACCTCTTTGCCAACCCAGGCTCCTACATCACAAAGTACTGCCACCCGCCTCAGCCCATCAACAACGACAACCACCACTGGCACCACCATAGTCCCCAGCAGCACTGCACCGCCAACAGAAAGCACAACCGCCATCACCACCACAAGCACGGCCAGCACCACCAGGAGCTCTCCACCTCCAACAGAAGGAGCCACTATCATCACACCCACTACAACATCACAAACCTCAGCCAGTAGCACTATCAGCACTTCCACGACCACCACAGGAAGCACCACAACATCCACATCCACATCGAATCCAGTTCAAACACCCACTTCTCCAACCCACACTCCAACATCTCATAGTAGTGCCACCAGCCTCAGCCCTTCAACAACGACAACCACCACTGGCACTACCGTAGTCCCCAGTAGCACGGCACTGCCAACAGAAAGCACGAGCACCGTCACTTCCACCAGCACGGCCAGCACCACCAGGACCTCTCCACCTCCAACACAAGGAACAGGCACCATCACACCCACTCCGACACAGACAACCTCAGCTACAGCCACCACTCTCAGCACCTCCAGGACCTCTACCACCTGCCAGCCACAATGTGTCTGGACTCAGTGGTTTGACGTGGATACCCCCAGCCCCGGGAGTGAAAATGGAGACATAGAGACATTTGAAAGCATCCGAGCCGCTGGGTACACACTGTGTGACCAGCCACAAGACATCAAGTGCCGCGCTAAAGATTACCCTTCTAGGAGTCTGGACAAGTTGGGACAGGTCTTTCAGTGCAGCATCGAATTTGGCCTTGTGTGCAAAAATGAGGATCAGATCACAAAGTACCCCCTGTGCTTCGACTATGAGATTCAGGTGCTCTGTTGTGACACTAAAACCTGCGTGGACACATCAACAACTACAGGTACCACTGCAGGATCCTCCACCACAGCCTCTCCAACACAAACCTCCAATCCGCCAACACAGTCTCCAACAGCACACAGTACTGCCACCAGCCTCAGCCCATCAACAATGACAACCACCACTGGCACCACCATTGTCCCCAGTACCACTGCACCGCCAACAGAAGGCACGAGCATCGTAACTACCACCAGCACAGCAAGCACCACCGGGACCTCTCCACTTCCAACAGAAAGAACCACCATTGTCATACCCACTACAACATCACACACCTCAGCCAGTAGCACAATCCGCACTTCCAGGACTACCACAGGAAGCACCACAACGTCCACATCCACATCAACTTCCGTTCAAACATCCACTTCTCCAACCCACGCTCCAACATCACAAAGTACTGCCACCAGCCTCAGCCCATCAACAACGACAACCACCACTGGCACCACCATTGTCCCCAGTACCACTGCACCGCCAACAGAAGGCACGAGCATCGTAACTACCACCAGCACAGCAAGCACCACCGGGACCTCTCCACTTCCAACAGAGAGAACCACCATCGTCATACCCACTACAACATCACACATCTCAGCCGGTAGTACAACCAGCACTTCCAGGACCACCAGAGGAAGCACCAGAACGTCCACATCCACATCAACTCCAGTTCAAACATCCACTTCTCCAACCCAGGCTCCAACATCACACAGTACTGCTACCATCCTCAGCCCGTCAGCAACTACCATCACCACTGGCACCCACATTTTCTCCAGTACTACTGCACTGCCAACAGAAGTTCCGAGCATCGTCACTACCACCAGCACGGCCAGCACCACCAGGATCTCTCCACCTGCAACAGAAGGAACCACCATCATCACACCCAATCGATCAGTGCCTACGTTAGCCAGCAGCACCACCAGCTCAAAGCCCTCCACAACATCCACATCTACCTCTACTCCAGCACAAACATCCTCTCTGCCAACCCAGCCTCCAACACCACACATTACTGTCATCAGTGTCAATCATTCAGCAACAACAACCATTCCTGCTTCACTGGGGCTCCGCAGTACCATTGCAGCGACAACACAAGGCACAACCACCATCACTACCACCAGCCCAGCCAGCACCACCAGGACCTCTCCACCTCCAACAGAAGAAAGAACCACAACAACCATCACTAGAGTACCCACCTCAGCAGTCAGCAGCAGTAGCACCTCAAGGACCACCACAGGAGGCACCACAACATTCATGTCTGGTCCATCAGAAACATCTACTCTGGCAACTGAGGCTCCAACTTCACACATTACTGCCTCCAGCCATCACCCTTCAGCAACAACGACCATATTTTCTACACACATCCCTGCTACATCTGTTTCTTCTACTGCACTGAGTACTGTCACAATTCCCAGAATTTTCTCTACCACCAGCATCCCAGGTATGTCTTTTTTTGCCACTGAAAGTGTTCCAAACATCTGTCTCTGTAGAATATCATTTGTTTCATTGTCTTCTGTAAGTTGTATCTCCAAATTATTCTGTGATCATCTCTATTTTTCGTAACACACAAACCACCAAGTTGCATAATCCTAGATGTTATTCAGAACAAAGACTTTCACAATCTCTACTTAGCCATACATCAAATAGTTTAATGCAATAAAAATGTTGACTTGATTTTCCTGAATGTTAAACATCACCCTTTAATATATTAAGATCATGAGATGAAAATCCTGTGCTGCAGTTTTTCTTTTTTTTTTTTTTTAACAGTAACAACATCTGCTACACCACAGTCAAGTCATGTTACAAGAAGCACTTCTCCAATCTTCAGTTCTATCTCCAGCACACCTGTCACAACAGAAGCAAGTACATTTGTATCATCAATTGGAACGACTCCATGTTTTTGTCATGTATTTGGTAAATTTTTTTCTCCAGGTAAGTGTCTTATTTTATGATTATAAATACTTTTGGAAATAATATAACCTCTTAATACTCTTTCCAATTTAAGACAACTGCTCAGTATCACTTCAACACAGAACTTTGTATATATGTATACACTTTATATTTTCACAATATTTTTTTGAGGTTTTTCCCTTAAGTATTTTCACTGGTCTTTTAATTTCTCCTCCAATTTTCCCCTACAGGGGAAGTGATATACAACAGAACAGACGGCGCTGGCTGTAATTTTTTTGCACTTTGCAGCAAGGAATGTGAAACTGACCCATACCAGGGGCCATGTCCTTCTACAACACCTTTCACTTCAACACAAGCCACCTCATCCACAGAACATGGATTTTCTTCTGTCTCACAGACAACAGCAACATCCATCACAACTTCAGGAGCAAGAAACTGTACTGATGTCAATCCTCCGCGAAAGGTGGTTCCCCTCATTATTTTCTAATATATCACCATTGCAAAACGAGCCAAATTTCTGTCCTAAAGCCCCAACTGAAATCAACTTGTATGTATTCCAATAACTAAGTTGGCCATGTTCCAAATGACCTGACAGCATGCAATTCTTCCACCTGGCATTACCAGGTTTTTATATAATCTGGAGGTAGAAAAGCTTACTAACACCACAGCAGAGCCTTTTTTTTTTTTTTAAATAAAAAACATTTAAATGTCACAGAAACAAGCAGACCAGCTATGAAAGTATTAAAACCTCATTCTTTTTACAAAGAAGAGTGTTCCATGGTTCTTCTCAGCCTGCCTTCTCTTAAGGCCCGAAATATATGCTATGAAAACTCTAATATGAACTCCCTACCAATTTTGAGAGTATATCTCAAGTTGAAACGGAAGAACTAGGGTGAGAGAGCACTTGACAATAATTATGTAAATATTTTTAGCCTGGAGAGCACTGGATAAGTGAATGCCAGAAGTGTGTCTGCGACAACCTCACTGCCATCGTACAGTGCCAGCCGATTCTATGCCCAACAGCTCAGACACCAATTTGTGACCTCGGATTTGTTCCTGTGCCTGTACTACCACCAAAAGACTCATGTTGTCTTGAATATCGTTGCCGTAAGTATTAAAAATACATATATAAATACCAGACTACACAACCTGGTAAATGACATTTGCACTTCTGTTAGTATCTAAGCAAGTTTTTCATGTATCACAGCAACAACAAAACCTTCCTCAAATTGTTTTGGCTCTGAGAACATGTATCAATTTTTGGCTAAACATGTATTAGAAATTTATTTAAAAGCAAAATGCTTTTTTCAGTGAAGTCTGCTGAGAATTGGTATCAGTGGGAAAACAGGATAATACTTTGAACCTTCAAGTGGTCTATGTAAGCTCAACCATGTCTATATCTGTAATAATAAAGGTTATTATTTTTTTAATGTTATTAATGTAATGTTGGAACACATTAATATTAACCTAATTGTAGCTAAACTGAGATCCGTAAACATATTAAGCCAGCAGAAAGTTTAACAGTTAACTACAAAAGCAAGTAACACATAGCAATAATACAGTGAATTGTAATCAGTAACTGAGTTGTAATCAGTAACTGAATTGTCAATGTATGAAAAATAATTACACTGTTGTTGAATGCTCATGAAAATTCAAAAATCCAACAGATACATGTTTATTTATATACAAAAATTTCTCTATACTTATTTTACTCATATATTTATACAAAAGAATAAAAAAGAAGCCATAAATTAAAAGCAAAACAGGAACATCAAAACAAAGGAACAGCCAGTTTGAAGTAGTTCTGTGAATGGGCTCTGCCATGCTGCTAAATTGTTTATATTATCACAGTAAGGGGATCTTTTTTTCCACCCAGAATCAACCTTCCACCTAAGCCATTTTCTGAGAGGTCATAAGGAATAGCAACAAACACACCTTCGAAGTTTACTGGACTTCTAGAGTTCAAAGAGGAAACGGTTAATTTAATTTGAAGTGAACTTGGTATTAAAAGGGAAACAAAGAGATTTTATTCATGCATAGCCAAGTTTTAAGCCATTCCTCCTCCTCTTCTAGCTAATTTCGAAGATGAAACTTTACTTAAACATCCAGCTACACTAAACATGAAGTATAAGAATGTAGGGTCGAGTTCAGGTTTTCCATGATCTCTGACTTACTAACAAACTTGGTGATGACTTCTCAGGGAGTCTCACGATTTGAGCTTACTGCAGAATTATTTTTTGTTTGTTTTTCAGAACCAATAGATGGCATCTGTGTGATTAACGGTACAATGTACACGGTGAGAAAGTTATAGTGATATACTGCTGGAAGCTAAATGCACACCCTTTTTGCCAAAATAAGCCTTTGAGAAAGTTCTTTTCCCAATACATGTTTTTTTCTTTCTAGCCCTTAACTGGAAGGTACTTTTTTTCTAATGTCAAAACCAAAATTACCACACAACTGTTCTTTCAACATCAAGCATGAAATAGGAGTAACATTTTCAGTGATATACTTTCTTTTAAAACAATCTCCCACTTCTGGAATTCACAAATTTTCCAAATGAGCTGATGAATAGCCCAAACTCAACCACTCTTTGAAATAAGTTCAGAGAACCTTCAAAACTAAAACTATGATTTTTGCTTTAATCAATACCTAAATCTTTTTCCAAAATTGGTACTTAGGTCATTTAGTCAAAATATAAGCACTAGCACTGGAGCCTTTTGGGGATACATTTCTGGAAGACAAAATCCATGCATAGATTTCTATTTATACTTAGGTATCTGCATAAGTATACCACTATTTTAATCTACGTTTGTAAATTATAATTGTTTTATAACCACTGAACATGACTTACAGGGAAAAAAAATCTTAAAAGGAGCAATGAAAATCTGGTAAAACAATGAGGCAGTGCAAATCAGTCTTACCTGCATCTTATTAATTTACTTTTCTCTTTTGTATTGCTTCATAGTTTTCTCCTAATGTGTACTTTCTTGCAAGACATAAAGCCAAACAACTTTACCTTTGACAAGAATCAGTTGCACTTGCATTTCAGCAATGCTTTCAATTCTGCCTATACATTTTATAGAAATTCTTGTCATCTGAGGGTAATTTTCTGTCTTCCAGGTTGGAATGTCGACAGTCATCAATCCATGCAAGAATTGTACCTGCACTTCTGAGAAAGATCCAGTGAATAATACTAATACTGTGCACTGTGAAACAGTTCAATGTGAAACATCTTGCCCGCTGGTGAGTTCAAATTCTCTGGGCTGCCCAGTCAGCCCACTATTAAAGGAAGACTAGAATTCTGCATGACCAACTCAACATACTTTCTCTTTCATCTCCTTGTGAGTAGGGTTATCAATACATGACTGAGGATGGAGAGTGTTGTGGGGAGTGTATTGAAGTAGCTTGCATAATCAAACTAAATAATAACACCGTTCACATGCTCCGAGTAAGTATTCCTTTAATTTTTAGATCTATTAGCTAATACAGGTTACAACAGCTAAGAGTCAATTAATTTCCCTTAATAACAAAAATCTAGTTAATATTAAAATTATTCTGAAAACAATGCATGCGCTTCCTGAATTGAATACTTCCTTGGAACAACACATTCTTGATACGTGTGGTTAACTGGGCAATAGGTTCTAATTTGTACTTTGAGTGTTCAGATCCAGGATTTAAGCTTTCACTAGCCATAGGTTTGCAAAATTTTGCTTTTGCCACTTGAAAGAAGTTCAGAAGCATCTGAGAATCTTTGAGGCATGAGAACTTAATTGGCTCAGGCACTTGTGAGGTAATCATCCTATATTTGATCACAATGAAAAAAAACTGTTTCCTTTTCTGATAAAATCTTAGGTTGATGATGTCCTGTCAATCGATAACTGCACCCAGTACAAATGTGAAAAAATTGAAGATCAATTTGTTGCAGTCCAAACTAAAAAAATATGCCCTGAGTACAACCCAGAAGAGTGTGATCCTGTAAGTTTCACTCAGTTCATCGATTAAACACAGTTTAAAACTTGGGAGTGGGAGGGGGGAAACGGGACGACAATACAGACACGAAGACAGGCAAAGAAGAGCACAAAAAAGCACTTCCACTGAAGTTGCAGGAATGCCTTCAGAATTAAATTAATCTTGCTGTAGCATTAGTAATAAGAAAATGTTAGTGCTTTTACATGAGGCTACCAGGATTCAAGACTTCTATGGTGGGCACATTAAGTCATCCATCATTTTCATTCAGTGTTCATCACAGATGAGTCATCTGCCCAGTATCAGTAATGCCAATACATATTCTTACGCATAACTGCCATCTGTGCATTAATCCATACCCTTCTCCTTTCCCTTTGTAAAGGACGAAACAGAGACTACTCCTGATGGGTGCTGCAAAATATGTAAACGTAAGTAATGCTGTGTTTGTGTTTTCTGCTTGAAGAGTGCTGTATTCAACTTGTAACTGCCTTTGAGTAGATAGGATTTTTCACTCCTCCAGTTTTCTCTTACTCTATCAAGATCCTGTGTTTCACTATTTATTCAAAAGGAAAAAGCAAACTTGTTTTCTTGATAGTGAATGCCACAATTCAAAATTCAGTGCTCAAGCTTCTGCATTATCTTCCAAAGACCCTATGCAGCCAAGATCAAAGAATAATCTGAAAACTCCAGGCACTTTACACAGTATCCCCCATCACATACTGTACATTCTTAATAATTGGACATCGTGCATTTTGAAATTGTTTTAGCACTCAGTTCTGAACTAGAGATCTGAATTCTATGTTTTTTCCCCCTCTTTTTATGAAGCTACAAACTGCAAAGTTTATAGCAAAAAGAATGTGATCCGCCTCGGTGACTGTGAATCTTCAGTACCTGTCGAGCTGACATATTGTGAAGGAACTTGCCCTGGCTCCTCAGTGTAAGTTTCAGAATCTTGACATCTCTATGGCTTCATTCATACTTTATTTATACTGGTCTCTCATGTTAATCAATTGCCCAAGCTTACTGAGGAACCTGGTGGAAGTGTTCACCAAGCCACTTTCAATCATTTATCAGCACTCCGGGCTAACTGGGAAGATCCCAGTTGACTGGGAGTTTGTAAATGTGACACCTATCCACAATAAGGGCCAGAAAGAGGATCCAGAGAACTACAGACTTGTCAGTCTGACCTCCCCTGCCAAGGAAGGTGATAGAGCAGATCAACTTGAGTGCCATCATATGGCACATGCAGGACAATCAGCTGATCAGGCCCAGTCAGCAGGGGCAGGTCCTGCTTGACAAACCTGGTCTCCTCCTAAGACAAGGTGACCTGGGTAACCTGCGTAGTGGATGAAGGAAAGGCTGTTGATGTTGTTTACCTGGACTTTGGAAAAATCTTTGACCATTTCTCACAGTATTCCCCTGGAGAAACTGGCTGCTCACGGCTTGGACAGGTATACTCTTTGCTGGGTGAAAAACTGGCTGAATGGAGTTAAATGCAGTTGGCAGCTGATGACAAGTGGGATGCCCCAGGGCTCAGTGTTAGGCCAGTTCTGTTTAATATCTTTATCAGTGGCCTGGATGAGAGGATCAAGTGCACCCTCATTAACTTTGCAGACAACACCAAGCTGGGTGGGAGTGCTCATCTGCTGGAGGGCAGAAAGGCTCTACAGAGGGATCTGGACAGGCTGGATCAATGAGCTGAGGCCAGTGGTATGAGGTTCAACAAAACCACTGGGTCTTGCATTTGGACTACAACAATCTGATGCAATACTACAGGCTTGAGCAAGAGTGGCTGGAAAACTGCTTGGTGGAAAAAGACCCCAGGGTGCTGGCCAACAGCTGTCTGAACATGAGCCAGCAGCATGCCCAGGTAGCCAAAAAGGCCAACAGCATCCTGGCCTGTATCAGAAATAGTGAAGAAAGCAGGACTAGGAAAGTGTAAGTTCCTTTGTACTTGGCCCTGGTGAGGCTACACCTTGAATGCTGCATTCAGTTTTGGGCCCCTCACTACAAGAAAAACATTGAGCTGCTGCAGCATGTCCAAAGAGCAATGAAGCTGGTGAAGGGTCTAGAGAACAAGTCTTAGGAGGAACCAAGTTGTTTTAGGCTGAAGAAAAGGAGACTGAGGGGAGACCTTATTGCTCTCCACAACTACCTGAAAGGAGGTAGCGATGAGGCGGGTACTTGTCTCTTTTTTCCCAGTTAAGAAGCAACAGTACAAGTAGAAATGGCCTCAAGTTGTGCCAGGGGAGGTTTAGATAGGACATTATGAAAAATTTCTTCACCAAGAAGGTTGTCAAGCACTGGAACAGGCTGCCCAGGGAAGTGGTGGAGTCACCATCCCTGGAGGTATTTGAAAGACACATAGAAGCGGTGCATAGGGACATGGTTTAGTGGTGGGCTTGGCAGTGTCAGGACTCACGATCTTAAGGGTCTTTGCCAACCTCCATGATTCTATGATCACAGAATAGCAACAAAGTTAATGTGTTTATATGATGTTACTGAGTGGAATCGGAGTCAATGGACACCAGAAAGTTTCACTACTGAAGAGACAGGTAATTAAAATTACATTCATAAGTGTGTGTGGGAAGGAGGAAGAGAGGATGTAAAAAAGAGAAACCAAACCCAAACCCACTCCCAAGCCCCCCAAGAAACACAAAAACAAAGCTCACTCCGGGTTTTCAGAGTTTTGAATGAGAAGATGTATTTTCTTTCCTGGTGGAACACAGGTATTCTTTTGAAGCAAACCAGATGCAACACGAGTGCGGCTGCTGCCAGGAGTTCAGCAGCCAAACAAAAGAGGTGACCCTGACTTGCCCAGATGGAACAAGCATGAATTATAGCTATGTTTACGTGGATCAATGCCAGTGTATGAATGCGTGCACCTCTGCAGAATCTGATTCCCAACAGAAAATCAGCAGACGAAAGAGATGATTGCTAGAAAGTCTAGAGTCTAGGGAAGGTGGAATCTTGTTTTCTCCACAATAACTTGTGCTCCTTCTTTAATAGATCGCATGTCGGTTTCTGTTATCACCTTTTCTCATTTCTTACTTGTAAAAGAATATAAATAAAAGTCAAATAATTAAATCTTAGTGGGGTTATTTTAAGTGATACAATATTCAGGAGTAAAAACAAGACTAAAACATCTTGTGTCAATTATAGAAATATGACAATGTTTCATTCAATCACTGACATTTTTCAAAAAGTTTTAAGGTGTCTCAAAAAAAAACCTAGACTCCTCCCCAAAACATTGTCACTACATTGCACTTTACACTCTTGTGCCTAGAGAGCATTACTGCTTATCATTTTTATGGATATAGTAGCCCAGACATCCCAGAAGCAGGTATATAACTGTTTCATTTGATACATAAAACTTTCAGCATTTTTCCATTTTGGTGATTGTTCAATACCCAGTTTCACTACCTAAATGATGGAGAGTCCAATGGCATCAGGGAGATTTCCAACTCCACTGGGTATGTTCTTTAGCAGCTTTTGAGAATGAAGACACACTCAAAACCCTTTTCCTGGATGAGGTTCAATTCTGTTACAATATAAAGCCTAATATCTTCCCTGAAGGCTTGGCTGAAAAATAAAGGAGGAACTGTTTGATCAAGTAATTGCATGTTTTATATGTGCTTATTTAGAAGGGAAATTTGATCCCTGCATTAAATTAGTGAAGCCCTATCTGTTGGCCCTCACAGGCATGACCTGATATGAGGAACAAACAGTGGGGAACAGTAGGAAGGTTTGTAAGCTTCACATTTTACTGCTGAACTCCATGAATCTGTTGACTGCCCATGGTTTGCCTGTCCCATAGCTGTCATGCAGGCTCCAGGCAGGGTAACTGACAGTGACAGCGGAGCAGATGCAAGTACCACTCCCTCCACCTTCTCTTCTCTGATCCAGTAATAAGCCACTTTTCACTCAGAACCTGGGCTGTTTCACAATGTCACCAATGCATCCTCAGACCCTAAACACCAGGTATTGCTATCAGGAGACATCCAAACAGTCCTGAACAGAGGGACTAGTTGATCAAGCACTTTGACAGCTTTAGCATAGCTTCCCAGGTTTCTAACTTCCGGAGGGCTTAGCACTTAAGGCACAGCACCACAAAAACAGGGTGCCTGATGGGATCTAGAACCGTATTGCACTAAAAAACAGGATCTAGAACTGTAGTGCAGTGAAAAAACAGCACTGCTGGCTGCAGATGGGCTTCCTGAGAGGCATTTGCGTATGCTAGCCACATTAGGCCAAGGAAATCTGCATGCTTCCCCCCTTACTCCCTAGTTCCTGTATTCTGCGTATCACAGTATCACACAGTACACAGTATGCTAGAGATTGGAAGGGACCTCAAAAGATCATCTAGTCCAACCCCCCTGCCGGAGCAGGAACACCTAGATAATGTTACACAGGAATGTGTCCAGGTGGGTTTTGAATGTCTCCAGGGAAGGAGACTCCACAACCTCCCTGGGCAGCCTGTTCTAGTGTTCCGTCACCCTCACTGAGAAGAAGTTTCTTCTCAAGTTTAAGTGGAACCTCTTGTGTTCCAGTTTGTACCCATTACCCCTTGTCCTGTCATTGCTTGCCACTGAGTAGAGCCTGGCTCCATCCTCGTGACACTCCCCCTTTATATACTTATAGACACTTATAAGGTCACCCCGCAGTCTCCTCTTCTCTAAACTATAGAGACCCAGCTCCCTCAGTCTTTCCTCATAAGGGAGATGTTCCACTCCCTTAATCATCTTTGTTGCCCTGCGCTGGACTCTCTCCAGCAGCTCCCTGTCCTTCTTGAACTGAGGGGCCCAGAACTGGACACAATATTCCAGATGGGGTCTCACCAGGGCAGAGTAGAGGGGAAGGAGGACCTCTCTCGACCTACTAACCACCCCCCTTCTAATACACCCCAGGATGCCATTGGCCTTCTTGGCCACAAGGGCACAGTGTTGGCTCATGGTCATCCTGTCGTCCACTAGGACCCCCAGGTCCCTCTCCCCTACACTGCTCTCTTAACAGGTCGTTCCCCAACCTATACTGGAACCTGGGGTTGTTCCTGCCCAGATGCAGGACTCTACACTTTCCCTTGTTATATTTCATCAAGTTACTCCCTGCCCAACTCTCCAGCCTGTCCAGGTCTCGCTGGATGGCAGCACAGCCTTCTGGTGTGTCAGCCACTCCTCCCAGCTTAGTGTCATCAGCAAACTTGCTGATAGTACACTCAATTCCCTCATCTAAATCATTGATGAATATATTAAATAATACCGGTCCCAGTACTGGCCCTTGAGGCACTCCACTAGTTACAGGCCTCCAACTAGACTCCGCCCCATAGACCACAACTCTCTGGCTTCTCTCCTTCAGCCAGTTCAGAGTCCACCTCACTACCTGATTGTTGCAGAATGACTCTAAGAGCAGGACCATAGAGTTCTGGAGGACTGTGCAAGCAAGGCAGGGGGTGGCCCCCACAGGTAACCGGAGACCGGACCTGGGAGGAGAATGTGGAGGAAGCTGTGGGGGCTAACCAATACTGTTATGCCAAGAAGGAGTGGCTGAATACCACTCCTATATATGTGTGAACTGCGTCACAAATAAGGTGGAAGTTGCTTATCACCCATATTGGGTTGGCCTGTCTGCTTCTCCTCACCGCTTACACCTGATCATCCAGACCACACTTCCTCAATTTAGCTGTGAGGATGCTGTGGGAGACTGTGTCAAATGCTTTGCTGAAGTCAAGGTAGACCACATCCACTGCTCTGCCATCATCCATCCACTGTGTTATTTCCTCATAAAAGGCTAAGAGATTGGTCAAGCATGATTTCCCCTTGGTGAAGCCATGTTGACTGCCCCTCATAACCCTCTTATCCTTGATATGCCTTAAGATGGCACCAAGGATAAGGTGTTCCATCACTTTCCCAGGGATGGAGGTGAGGCTGACCGGTCTATAGTTACCTGGGTCCTCCTTCTTGCCCTTTTTGAAGACTGGAGTGACATTTGCTTTCCTCCAGTCCTCAGGCACCTCTCCCGTTTCCCAAGACTTGGTAAAGATGATGGAGAGTGGTCTAGCAATGACTTCCACCAGTTCCCTCAGCACCCGCAGGTGCATCCCATCTGGACCCATGGATTTATGGATGTCCAGATTGCTCAACTGGTCTCTAACCCATTCCTCATCGACTAAGGCAAACCGCTCCGTCGACCTGACTTCATCTAAGGTCTCAGGGGTACAGGGCTCTTCAGGACCGCCTGCAGCAGAGTAGACAGAGACAAAGAAGGCATTCAGTAACTCTGCCATCTCTGTATCTTCTGTCACCAGGGCACCCATCCCGTTCATCAGTGGGCCTACATTGCCTCTGGTGTTAGTTTTATCTGCCATGTATTTGAAAAAGCTCTTTTTGCTGTCCTTGACCCTTCTCACCAGGTTTAATTCTAAGGAATCCTAGCTGCCTTCCTACATCCTCTAGCAGCAGCCTTATATTCCTCCCAAGTGGCCAGCCCCTCCTTCCATGACCTGTAAACTCTCCTCTTCCACTTGAGCATATCCAGCAATTCCCTATTTAGCCACGCAGGTCTCCTGGCCCTCTTCCTTGACTTCCTACGTGTCGGGATGCTCTGATCTTGAGCTCGGAAAAAGCAATCCTTGAATGCCAACCAACTATCTTGGGCCCCTTTACCTTCAAACAGCCTTGCCCATGGGATTTCCCCTAGCAATTGCTTGGGTACTTAGCACCATGTTCGCCAGTTAAAAACTTCCCCTTCCTCCTCTGGAGGTTTTCCTCTACTGTTTCAAACACTCTGCTACCATGTCAGCAGTACACTCCAGCTCAAGTCCTAAGCTGCCCTCTAACGGTCATTATCCACTTTTCTAAACCAGGAACTATTATTCCCTTAATTCTACTGGGAACAAGAACCCTTGTGGACCATGTTCATCCATCAGAGATCAATTATATTAGCATATGAATTTTATTTTTTTTAATTCGAAATTCCCATATTATGGAGGACGTCAAGGCTATTTCTCAAAGCTGAACACCACATCATTTCCAGGTAGCTGAGATCAGTTACGCAGGACTTCAATTTGAAGATGCCATTGCAATCCTCAGTGATCACATACAGCATTCATAAAAAAAAAAACACACCAAAAAAAACCCCAAAACAACATCACCACCTCCCCAACCTGAAAACAAAAATAAACCCAACAGCATTCGCTATTTAGAAGACAGAATCTTGATAAGAGGGGGTCTGGGGGCTTGACTTGTTTTGTTGTTTGATGTCGTGTCCCACCTACCCCCCAGTCTGAAAACCAGCCCACTGCAGAATGCTAGAAATTGGTTCTGTTCTCCCTAAAATATTTTTCCTTTTTTAAGGGAAATCTATTATTGTCCTTTTTTTTTCTCAAGCCTACATGGAAGAAAACCCGGGGATTTTGCCCTCTTAAGTAAATGGGATTCAGGAGACAAATATGTAGATTTCTCTTTGAAGAAAATGCTATGCTACAATTACAAGCCCAAGGAACCTCTAGAGATTACTTTAAAGCAGAGAAATCAGCTGAATAGAGAAGAAAAAAACAACCAAACAAAAAAAACAACCCACCAACATACCATTGCTTGATATGCAAGAAGTTATCATTTATGTTAAAAAATATCTAGCTATTATGTACTACATCAAGCTTCTTACAGCATGAAATGATAAAATGCACATACACCTTGAATTTTATGGCTAAATTTCCAAATATACGAACTGTACATTCACAGCAGCAAAACAGTTTGTTAGAAAACTACAGATTAATAAATTATATTTAAAATAAGAAATAGTATATAATACAAAATCAAGCCAGAGCTTTCCTGTCATTTCCGTGGGTTATCAAACCAATCAGGAAGTGCTGACTTTCCATCCTATGCGATTTACCATAAACAAATATACTGATGCTTCACTAAAAATTACTGCAG